ATATATATATATATATATATATATATATATATATATATATATATATATATATATATTTATGCAAATACGTTTATTCAAAGTATTCTATTTTGGTCAACAAATACATATGGTACGTTATATTTCTGATTACAAATGCGATTGACCTTACGATACGCAGAAACGCTTGTAAAAATATTATTAGTGTTTTCCAAACAGTCGCAGGATTAATATATATACTCAAGCCACAATCCACTTACATTCGTACAGTGTCAAGGAAGAATATTACAAGTTTTATTTATATAATATTATTTTATAATTAACATTATAAAATATTCTCTGTATGTCAGTTATACCACTCTAAGTGTGATGTCGAATCCTGGACCATTCACAATACGAGGCGCACTCGTAAATTATAATAATTTTTTCAACCCGTACGTCTGTCATGTTTGCAAAATTTCAGAGAACTTACAAGTATGTCATTCGTGCCGTTTGATCTCTTACTGCTGTAATGAGCACTTGCAATTGCATCAAAAGGAACATAAAGAGTTTTGTCTGGCTGTATTAAGCTTGAGTGACAAAATATATTACTTCCATGATATAACGCTTAAGGAATGGACTGAAATAAAGAAGGCTAATGTGAGAAGAGTTAAGCATTATCTTGGTCGCGATTTAGAGCCATATGAAGAGCAAATATTGCTATTTGCAAAATCGTGTCTCATATGCCGTCGCCAGAATGACCTGAGTGTCGTTTGCAAGTCATGCATGTCGGTTAGCATGTGTTCTACGCACAAATCGACTGCTTATGTGCACAGCTGCAAAGATCTACGGCTTTGTACAAGACTGGATATCAACGATGCCGTAACAAATGAACAGAATGTATCAATGCCGACAGAGCTTCTAAGTTATGAATTTTTGAGCGATATGAAAACACATCTTGAATATCGTTTAAAACATAATAGTGATTTTGATACTTGGAACTGTGATGATTTTGATACTTGGAACTGTGATGATTTTGATACTTGGAGCTATAATGATTTTTTATATACTAATTACTTGTCAAGACCATTGACGTTGTTATTTAACGTAACGGAAACAGCTGTATACCAACTGACATCTACAACCATTACAATTCACGTTATAGCCGGAACCTTCACGGACAGAAATAGTTTAATGGCATGGGAAATCTTTTTACACCAAATGCTACCTGTTGCATCATTAACTATTGTAATGATAGAGTCAAAATTAGAATATGATACTTATAATACACCGCTTTGTCAAACTTGCTACGCCCTAAATAAAGAACTTCATTTTTATTTTTTTCCTTCAACATACAGTCATTATATAAGCTCTGAGAAATATATGGAACCAGATATAATTATGGGATTTGATATAGATTTGGAGGATGATATAACGGCTATCCTACTAGCAATGTATCAAAACATACCGTTAGTTTTGACCTGCAAATCGGAAGTGAGGGTACAACAAATCGTTACGGAAGTAAGGACAATATTGAATAGAACGCCTATCATTCAGAAGAAGAATAATTTCGCATCTTGTAGACCATATAGAGATGATGAGAGCGATTCTTTGTTCTTTCAACATCAGTATATAATTGTCTATGCTAAAAAAACTTACAAAAGGAAGCAGTTAGGTACTTCTAACAATCACAACCAACCCAGCACCAGCACCAGCAGCTGTTTCTTGGAAGAATAATTGTATCATCACACTGATCGTATCATTATAAAATATATACAACGTAAAAGTTTTTATAAATTTAATTTTTTTCTTGTTTTTGTTATATTTTCTTTTCTAAACATATTTTGCACACATAGAGATCGTAATAACATTGCATTCCTGTTAATGATTTCTTTAAAAACTGCTCGATGCGTCTTTAATGTCCATTATGTATCATACTGAAGATAGTGAATATATTTTCAAAAGTACTTAATAATACGGATTAACATCCATATATACATAAACACACATATACATATATACGCGTGTCGAGATGTTGCGAGAGAATAAAGAGCTGATGGATTGGTCATTGTGTTACTTAATTGTTTTTCATTAGTAGGGAAGTCCACATCGAGAATGTTGTATCAAACGAAACGCACAAATGAATCTGTCAATATATAATGCAGCTGAGTAAATACTGGAACACGTAACGTTTTTGTGATATAATGCGAACTGACTTCAAACAAGAGGAGGTCAAAGTTATACATTACAAGTTAATTATAAACTCTATGTTTCATAACACGGAAGTATACGAAATCAAGTGTCTTTATTTGCAAAATCGTGTATTATTTGTCGTTAACAAGATCACCTGACTGCACGATACTAGCATCAAAAACCTATCTATTACGACTATTCCAATAAGCATAATTTAATAATATAACAGATTATAAATAGATATAGAGATAATATGTTATGTATATTTATATATGTATATATATAATTTTTGTCGTACATATAGTTGTAAAACTACATACTATATCATGCAAAATTGTAAAACTTCCAGATACATGCTGGAACATTTGTAAATATTTTAATAGTGCCATCGACAGTCACCAAATCATCTGTATTGAATGCTAATTGTCCACTGAGTACAAATTGTCATACTTATAAATATAAACACAGATGTTTCGAGCGTTTGTCTCTTTTGCGCTCCGTCCTAGAGTAATATTACAAAATATCTCCCGCTTCTAAACGTTTTATTAAATTATGCAGACATATTTTAGATATTATGTCGACATTTAGAGTGTCTACAGTGCAATTTTTGTCTGTACAATATAATAAATTTTTCTATTCTAACGTTTGCCACGTATGCCACGTATGAAAATCTATACAAACTTTCATGAAGTATTTTCTGTGTGGTATGATTTCGTATTACAGAAAGGAACACAGATTAATGTACTGAGATGTACCAAAGTTTGTATAACAAGGTTATAATAATGTTAAGTATGTAGTGGAACGTGTACAACTCGTGTAATATGACGTTAAGAAATTTGACAATATCCAGGAAAATGTACTTTTATCATATAAAAAATGGAATTTCGTCGTGATCTGGAGCCATACGAAGAGCAAATGTTTCTATTTGCAAAATTGTGCCATACTTGCCATCAACAGAATAATTTGCGAATATTGCATGTCTATCAACATATATTCAGTTCGCTGTTTAACTGATTACGAACATTGCTCTTTCCCTCTTCGATTTTGCTTGTACCTAAACATCCACAATGTTTTCACATCTGAAAACAATCAGAATATTTCTGAAAATCTTATGAGTTTAAGTGCATGAAACGTGTATGATATGCAATATTTTACAAGCAGAATTTGCAACATGATAGAAATATATTTTTTCGTTAAGTGATTATTATGAATATTTTAAATACTTTTCTATATTGTCGACATTGTTTAATGGGATTTCATAAATCAATTTATATATTTCATATTCTGCTGACTCTATACAACCTTTTTACCATTTGTCTTAATGTTTTCTGGAAATTTTATACTTGTACACAGTTTAGTAGCTTGGGAAATCATCTTGTATGAATTTATCCAAATACAAAGCAGCTAATTATAATAATAGGGCCAGAATTATTGGGAAAATGATATGCAGATTTGTGAGAGGTGCATTTACTATAGAAAAGAACTTCAGTGTATCATCGGATGTTGTATTTGAATTTTGCAACCTTACTGCATATACAACTAAATGTGATTATTGTATTTAACGCAAAATTTATGAATAATATAATATTAACGCAAACTTCAGGAGCGATACAGAAAGTTATCCGTTATTTACAACGTCTAAGTCAAGTGAGTGAAGATATAATAACAATGCGAGAAATACTGTACTCACAAGTATCACTCTTTGTTCATGAAACCAATTCGCATCTTTTAAACCTTGCAGAGGATGTTTGTGTACTTTTTTATGATAAGCATTTAATTATCTATCAGAACGTAAAAGTTTCGAATAACCCATGCCAGCAACAATCTTAATGTGTGTAATTTCAACTATAATTATAAGAAAACTTCATGTACAGTAAGTTTAACCATGTGTGTGTGTATATTTCTTAGTGATATGATGGTAAATTCAAGTTAGTGAAAGACATAGTTTTTATACCAAAAATTATCACAATAAAAACTTAATTCATAAAACTTAAGCTGTACGCTTTAAACTTAAAAAAAAATATCAATCACAGTTAAATGTGAGAGAAATAATTGACTGTAATTAGGCAACTTGTTACGCAAACGTGCGCGCACGCGCAGTTTAAGGCTTAAAGCTTAAGCCTTAAGTTACGTTTTTATATTCAAATATCAGATATGTATTTACAGGTTCATATTTATTATCACATACGTAATAAAATATATATGTAATAATTATTATATTATTCGCATTAAAAAAAAATTGTTGAACCTGAGATTGTTAAACTATTATATAACAATATTGTAATAGTATTAATTACCTCATCACATCGATGACAATATTATAAAAAGCAAGTCGTTTTCATTGATCTATCATAAGTTTCCTTAGGAAGAATATTTTTTCTTTAATTCGCTGTTTTACCATTTTATTTTCAATTTGTTATCTTCGGTTAGTATTATCATCTGTTCAATTGTATTATAGGATATATAGCATAATATGTTCTAATATACAAGTAATTACATTATGTGTGTAGTTCTCCTGTACAATAGAAATGCACCTATATCGTATAGCGCAATAGTTACATAACTTTAATACAATATACGATATTCTTATAATTTCTCGTTGTACGAAATGATATACAATGTGAACCAGTTATTGTATAAAGTATGAGATAAATGTTTTTCATAGATCTCTTCTATCTGCAGAAAAAACAATTCTGACGAAAACATTTTTTTTCCATAATTTTACAAATTCAAGATGCGTTTAAGCGATTTTATTGTAGTACGTGTTGATTCCGTGTATCACACGTATTTCACTAAGTAACAACTTGGCAATATTTTCTAGGTGTAAACTGTTATATGCTTCTTGATATATGCTTTAAACGAATTCACGAAATTCTACTCGACCAGAAATATCCGTTATATTTGCAAAGTAAAATTGTTAATATTTTCTACTTATATGACTAAGTGTTATTGTAAGATATAGCGTAGATTATACACACACACACACACATATATATATATATATATATATATATATATATATATATATATAATAAATTTAAATTTATAATATGTTATAATAAATAAATAAATAAGTATATATATATATATATATATATATATTTATTTATTTATTGCAAATATGCTTATTCAAAGTATTCTATTTCGGTCAACAAATAGACATGGTACGTTATATTTCTGTTTACAAATACAATTGACCTTACGCAGAAATGCTTGTAAAATTATTATTATTTTTCAAAGTCGCAGGATTAACATATATACTCAAGCTACAATCCACTAACATTCGTACGGTGTCAAGCAAAAATATTACAAGTTTTATTTATATAACATTATTTTATAATTAACATTATAAAATATCATTCTCTGTTAAACGACACAAGTTATACCGTCCTAAGCGTGATGTTGAATCCTGGACCACCCATAATACGAGACCCAATCGTAAATTATAATAATTTTTTCAATCCGTACGTCTGTCATGTTTGCAAAATTTCAGAGAATCTGCAAGTATGTCAGTGGTGCCGTTTGATCTCTTACTGCTGCAAAGAGCACTTGCAGTTGCATCGAGAGCAACACAAAGAGTTTTGTCTGGCTGTAGTAAGCTTGAGTGACGAAATATACTACTCCCATAATTTGACGCTTAAGGAATGGACTGAATACAAGAAAGCTAATGTGAGAAGAGTCAAGCATAAGCTTGGTCGCGATCTAGAATCATATGAAGAGCAAATATTGCTATTTGCAAAATCGTGTCTCATATGCCGCCGCCAGAATGACCTGAGTATCGTTTGCAACACATGCATGTCGGTCACCATGTGTTCTACGCACAAATCGGTTTCTTATGTGCACAGCTGCGCGTACCTACGGCTTTGTACAGGACTGGATATCAACCATGCCATAACAAATGAAGAGGATATACTAATACCGAAAGAGCTTCTAAGATATGAATTTTTGAGCGACATGACAATATATCTTCAACATCGTTTAAGTTATAGTAGAGATTTTGATACTTGGAACTATACTGATTTTTTATATACAAATTACTTGTCAAGACCATTGACGTTGTTATATAACGTAATAGGAACAAGTACATACCCACTGATAAGTGAAATTACAATTCACGTTATAGCCGGAACCTTCACGGACCATAATAGTCTATTGGCTTGGGAAGTCTTTTTACATCAAATGAAGTGTCCCTCGTCACTAATTGTTGTAATGATAGACTCAAAATTAGAAGATGATAAAGAGATGGAGTTTATAGATCTTTGTGAAACTTGCCAGATTCGACGTAATGCACTTTGTTTTGATTATCATTCTAAGACATACAGTGATTATATGAAATCTGTGGAAACTGAAGATCCAAATATAATTATGGGATTTGATATAGATTTTGAGAAGGATAAAATGGCTATCCAAAAAGCATTGACGTATACCAGTAAGAACATACCGTTAGTTTTGACCTGCAAATCAGAAAGTAGGGCACAACAAATTGTTGCGGAAATAAGGACAACATGGTACAAAAAGCCTATCATTCAGAAGAAGAATAATTTCGCATCTTGTAGACCATATAGAGATGATGAGAGCGATTCTGTGTTCTTTCAACATCAGTATATAATTGTCTATGCTAAAAAAACTTACAAAAGGAAGCAGTTAGGTACTTCTAACAATCACAACCAACCCAGCACCAGCACCAGCAGCTGTTTCTTGGAAGAATAATTGTATCATCACACTGATCGTAACATTATAAAATATATACAAGGTAAAAGTTTTTATAAATTTAATTTTTTTCTTGTTTTTGTTATATTTTCTTTTCTAAACATATTTTGCACACATAGAGATCGTAATAACATTGCATTCCTGTTAATGATTTCCTTAAAAACTGCTCGGTGCGTCTTTAATGTCCATTATGTATCATACTGAAGATAGTGAATATATTTTCAAAAGTACTTAATAATACGGACTAATACCCACATATACATATACATACACACACATATACAGGTACGCGTGTCGAGATGTTACGAGAGAATAGAGCTGATGGAATGTGCTACATAATTGTTTTTCATTGTAGGGAAGTCCACATCGAGAATGCTGTATCAAACGAAACGCACGAATAAATCTGTCAATATATAATGCAGCTGAATGAATATTGAAACATGTAATGTTTTTATGACATAATGCGAAATGGGCTAGCTTTAAACAAGAGAAAGTCAAAGTTATACATCACAAGTTAATTATGAGCTCTATATTTCGTGACCCAGAAATGTACGAAATCAAGTGTCTTTATTTGTAAAATGTATTGTTTGTCGTATTGTTATTACGTATTGTTTGTCGTTAATAGGATCACCTGACTGCACGACCCCGGCATCGTAAATTGCTCTATTACGATTATTTCAATAAGGATAATTTAGTAATATAGTAGATTATAAATAGATAGAGAGATAAGATGTTATATACGTATATATATGTATATATATAATTTTTGTCGTATATATATTCTAAAACTATATATTATATTATACATAATTTTAAAACTTTCAGATACATGCTGGAACATTTGTGAATATTTCATTGGTGAATATTTTATTAGTGCCATCGATAGTCGCCGAGTTGACATATGTACTGAATGGCAATTATTCACTCAGTACAAATTTTGATGCATGTAAATAGAAACACAGATGTCTCGAGTGTTTTTCTCTTTTGCGCGCCATTCTATATGAATATTACAAAATACCTGCCGCTTCTAAATGTTAAGTATGCGGGCATATTTTAGATATTATGTCGACATTTGGATTGTCTACAGTGTAATTTTTGTCTGTACAATATAATAAGTTTTTCGATCTCAATGTTTGCCACGTATGCAAGTCTGTATAAGCTTTCATGAAGTATTTTCTGTGTGGTATGCTTTCGTATTACAACAACGAGCGCAGATTAATGTACATATCGAATGAGATATATCGAAGTTTGTATAACAAGTTTATAATAATGTTAAGTATGTTGTGGAACGAGTACAACCCGCGTAATTTGACGTTGAAAACATTAACTATGTCCAAAAAGATGTAATTTTATCATATAAAAAAAGGAACTTTTGGACGTGATCTGGTACGTGATCGTACGTGATCGTACGAAGAGCAAATGTTTTTATTTGCAAAATTGTGCCATATCTGCCATCAGCTGAATAATTTGCGAATATTGCATGCCTATCAACATGTATTCAGTTCACTGTTTAACTGATTACGAATATTGCTCCTTTCCTCTTCGGTTTTGCTTGGACCTGAACATCCACAATGTTTTTGCATCTGAATACAATCGAAACATTCCTGAAAATCTTCTGAGTATAAGTGCATGAGATATATATGATATGCAATATTTTACAAGCAGAGATTTGCAACGTGATAGAAACATATTTTTATTAAGTGATTATTTTTTCATTATGTGATTATTATGAATATTTTAAATACTTTTCTATATTTTCGACATTGTTTAATGGGATTTTATAAATCAATTTATATATTACATATTTTGCTGCCTCTATACTATTTTTTTACCGTTTTTAAATCTTTCGGAAGTTTTATATTTGTACACAGTTTAGTAGCTTCGGAAGTCATTTTGTATGAACTTTATCCAAATACAAAGCAGCTAATTATAATAATAGGCCAAGAATTATCGGGAAAATGATATGCAGATTTGTGAGAGGTGCATTTACCATAGAAAAGAACTTCAGTGTTTCATCGGATGTTGTATTTGAATTTTGCAACCTTACTGCATATACAACTAAATGTGATTATTGTATTTAACGCAAAATTTATGAATAATATAACATTAACGCAAACTTTAGGAGCGATACAGAAAGTTATCCGTTATTTACAACGTCTGCAACACTAAGTCAAGTGAGTGAAGATATAATAACAATGCGAGAAATACTGTACTCACAAGTATCACTCTTTGTTCATGAAACCAATTCCCATCTTTTAAACCATGCAGAGACTATGAGGATGTTTGTGTACTTTTTTATGATAAACATTTAATTATCTATCAGAACGTAAAAGTTTCGAATAACCCATGCCAGCAACAATCTTAATGTGTGTAATTTCAACTATAATTATAAGAAAACTTCATGTACAGTAAGTTTAACCATGTGTGTGTGTATATGGCTTAGTGATATGATGGTAAATTCAAGTTAGTGAAAGACATAGTTTTTATACCAAAAATTATCACAATAAAAACATAAGTCATAAAACTTAAGCTGTAAGCTTTAAACTTAAAAAAAATTATCAATCACAGTTAATTGTGAGAGAAATAATTGACTGTAATTAGGCAACTTATTACGCAAACGCGCGCGCACGCGCAGTTTAAGGCTTAAAGCTTAAGCCTTAAGTTACGTTTATATATTCAAATATCAGATATGTATTTACAGGTTCATATTTATTATCACATACGTAATAAAATATGTATGTAATAATTATTATATTATTCGCATTAAAAAAAAATTGTTGAATCTGAGATTGTTAAACTATTATATAACAATATTGTAATATTATTAATTACCTCATCACATCGACAATATTATAAAAAGCAAGTCGTTTTCATTGATCTATTATAAGTTTCCTTAGGAAGAATATTTTTTCTTTAATTCGCTGTTTTACCATTTTATTTTCAATTTGTTATCTTATAATAATATTAATCTTATCTTATAATTATCTTATAATATATTAATATAATATTTTCTGCTTATATGACTAAGTGTTATTGTAAGATATAGCGTAGATTATACACACACACACACACATATATATATATATATATATATATATATATATATATATATATATATATATATAATAAATTTAAATATATAATATATTATAATAAATAAATAAATAAGTATATATATATATTTATTTATTTGTTTATTGCAAATATGCTCATTCAAAGTATTCTATTTCGGTCAACAAATAGACATGGTACGTTATATTTCTGTTTACAAATACAATTGACCTTACGCAGAAATGCTTGTAAAATTATTATTGTTTTTCAAAGTCGCAGGATTAACATATATACTCAAGCTACAATCCACTAACATTCGTACGGTGTCAAACAAGAATATTACAAGTTTTATTTATATAACATTATTTTATAATTAACATTATAAAATATCATTCTCTATTAAACGACATAAGTTATACCGTTCCAAGCATGATGTTGAATCCTGGATCACCCATAATACGGGACCCAATCGTAAATTATAATAATTTTTTCAATCCGTACGTCTGTCATGTTTGCAAAATTTCAGAGAATCTGCAAGTATGTCAGTGGTGCCGTTTGATCTCTTACTGCTGCAAAGAGCACTTGCAGTTGCATCGAGAGCAACACAAAGAGTTTTGTCTGGCTGTAGTAAGCTTGAGTGACGAAATATACTACTCCCATAATATGACGCTTAAGGAATGGACTGAATTCAAGAAAGCTAATGTGAGAAGAGTCAAGCATAAGCTTGGTCGCGATCTAGAGTCATATGAACAGCAAATATTGCTATTTGCAAAATCGTGTCTCATATGCCGCCGCCAGAATGACCTGAGTATCGTTTGCAACACATGCATGTCGGTCACCATGTGTTCTACGCACAAATCGGCTTCTTATGTGCACAGCTGCGCGTACCTACGGCTTTGTACAGGACTGGATATCAACTATGCCATAACAAATGAAGAGGATATACTAATACCGGAAGAGCTTCTAAGATATGAATTTGTATGCGACATGACAATATATCTTCAACATCGTTTAAGTTATAGTAGAGATTTTGATACTTGGAGCTATGCTGATTTTTTATATACAAATTACTTGTCAAGACCATTGACGTTGTTATATAACGGAATAGAAATAAATATATACCCACTGATAAATGAAATTACAATTCACGTTATAGCCGGAACCTTCACGGACCAAAATAGTCTATTGGCTTGGGAAGTCTTTTTACATCAAATGGAGCGTCCCTCGTCACTAATTGTTGTAATGATAGAGTCGAAATTAGAAGATGGTAAACAGTCTGATTTTATAGGTCTTTGTGAAACTTGCCAGATTCAACGTAATGCACTTAGTTTTGATTATTATTCTAAGACATACAGTGATTATATGAAATTAGTGGAAACTGAAGATCCAGATATAATTATGGGATTTGATATAGATTTTGAGAAGGATAAAATGGCTATCCAAAAAGCATTAACGTATACTAGTAAGAACATACCGTTAGTTTTGACCTGCAAATCAGAAAGTAGGGCACAACAAATCGTTGCGGAAGTAAGGACAACATGGTACAAAAAGCCTATCATTCAGAAGAAGAATAACTTCGCATCTTGTAGACCATATAGAGATGATGAGAGCGATTCTGTGTTCTTTCAACATCAGTATATAATTGTCTATGCTAAAAAGACTTACAAAAGGGAGCAGTTAGGTACTTCTAACAATCACAACCAACCCAGCACCAGCACCAGCAGCTGCTTCTTGGAAGAATAATTGTATCACACTGATCGTATCATTATAAAACATATACAAGGTAGAAGTTTTTATAAATTTAATTTTTTTCTTGTTTTTGTTATATTTTCTTTTCTAAACATATTTTGCACACATAGAGATCGTAATAACATTGCATTCCTTTTAATGATTTCCTTAAAAACTGCTCGGTGCGTCTTTAATGTCCATTATGTACCATACTGAAGATAGTGAATATATTTTCAAAAGTACTTAATAATACAGACTAACACCCACATATTCATATACATACACACACATATACATATACGTGTGTCGAGATGTTACGAGAGAATAGAGCTGATGGAATGTGCCACATAATTGTTTTTCATTGTAGAGAAGTCCACATCGAGAATGCTGTATCAAACGAAACGCACGAATAAATCTGTCAATATATAATGCAGCTGAATGAATATTGAAACATGTAATGTTTTTATGACATAATGCGAAATGGGCTAGCTGTAAACAAGAAGAAGTCAAAGTTATACATCACAAGTTAATTATGAGCTCTATATTTCGTGACCCGGAAATGTACGAAATCAAGTGTCTTTATTTGTAAAATGTATTGTTTGTCGTATTACGTATTGTTTGTCGTTAATAGGATCACCTGGCTGCACGACTCCGGCATCGTAAATTGCTCTATTACGATTATTTCAATAAGGATAATTTAGTAATATAGCAGATTATAAATAGATAGAGAGATAAGATGTTATATACATATATATATGTATATATATAATTTTTGTCGTATATAGTTCTAAAACTATATATTATATTATACATAATTGTAAAACTTTCAGATATATGCTGGAACATTTGTGAATATTTTATTAGTGCCATCGATAGTCGCCGAGTTGACATCTGTACTGAATGGCAATTATTCACTCAGTACAAATTTTGATACATGTAAATAGAAACACAGATGTCTCGAGTGTTTTTCTCCTTTGCGCGCCATTCTATATGAATATTACAAAATACCTGCCGCTTCTAAATGTTAAGTATGCGGGCATATTTTAGATATTATGTCGACATTTGGATTGTCTACAGTGTAATTTTTGTCTGTACAATATAATAAGTTTTTCGATCTCAATGTTTGCCACGTATGCAAGTCTGTACAAGCTTTCATGAAGTATTTTCTGTGTGGTATGCTTTCGTATTACAGCAACGAGCGCAGATTAATGTACATATCGAATGAGACATATCGAAGTTTGTATAACAAGTTTATAATAATGTTAAGTATGTTGTGGAACGTGTACAACTCGCGTAATTTGACGTTGAAAAAATTAACTATGTCCAAAAAGATGTAATTTTATCATATAAAAAAAGGAACTTTTGGACGTGATCTGGTACGTGATCGTATGTGATCGTACGAAGAGCAAATGTTTTTATTTGCAAAATTGTGCCATATCTGCCATCAGCTGAATAATTTGCGAATATTGCATGCCTATCAACATGTATTCAGTTCACTGATTACGAACATTGCTCCTTTCCTCTTCGGTTTTGCTTGGACCTGAACATCCACAATGTTTTTGCATATGAATACAATCGAAACATTCCTGAAAATCTTCTGAGTATAAGTGCATGAGATATATATGATATGCAATATTTTACAAGCAGAGATTTGCAACGTGATAGAAACATATTTTTATTAAGTGATTATTTTTTCATTATGTGATTATTATGAATATTTTAAATACTTTTCTATATTTTCGACATTGTTTAATGGGATTTTATAAATCAATTTATATATTACATATTTTGCTGCCTCTATACCACTTTTTTACCGTTTTTAAATCTTCAGGAAGTTTTATATTTGTACACAGTTTAGTAGCTTCGGAAGTCATTTTGTATGAACTTTATCCAAATACAAAACAGCTAATTGTAATAATAGGGCCAGAATTATTGGGAAAATATGTTATGCAGATTTGTGAAAGATGCATTCACGGTAAAAAAGAGCTTCAGTTTCATTGGATGTTGTATTACAATTTTGCTACTTCACTGCATATGCAACTGAATGTGATTATTGTATTTAACGCAAAATTTAGGAATAATATAATATTAAAGAAACTTTAGGAACAATATAGAATGGAAGTTATTCGTTATTTATAACGTCTGCAACGCTAAGTCAAGCGAGTAAAGATATAATAACAATACGAAAAGTGCGTTAGTTAGTTAGTTAGTTAGTACAAGCAATTAATTACGCGTTCGAAGAATTAGAAAACCAAAATACGTTGGCGAGGGTTCAGGCATCGATAATTAGACGGACGCGTTTATGTATCCGGCAACGAGAGTTCCATCAATACTGTAACTGATAAAATAAAATTCTGTTCATTAAAAGTTTTCTTTGTTTTTCCTTAATAGCTTTTAGATATCGTGTAAACATTGTTTATAAACACTTTATAAGTGTTAAATGTCACCTTACGAACCGTAGCTTAGCCGGAACAGCATACGCAGCGCATTTTCAAATTCGATTTTCTCCAAAACTAAGTCGAAAATAAAAAAAATTTTATCCTATGCTGTTTTCTCATTTTTTCATAAGGAATCACGTCGTGCCGATTTTTATACGTTATTCGGCCAGACTCTGTGTATGTCTATATACATATATATATATGTGTGTGTGTGTGTGTGTGTTTATTGCAATTATACTTATTCAAAATATTCTTTTTCTGCCAACGAATTCCCGCAGTTCTTTATATTTCTAAATACAAATACGATTGACCTCATGATACGCAGAAACGCTTGTAAACATATTATTAGTGTTTTTCAAACACTGGCAGGATCAACATATATACACAAGCCACATTTCACTAAGATACATACAGTGTGAAGCAAGAATATTACAAGTTTTATTTATATAAATTAAAATTACAAAATATCATTTTCTGTACGTCAGTTATACCGTTCTAAGCGTGATGTCGAATCCTGGACCATCCAGAATACGAAACACTCGTACAAACAAAGCACTTGTAAATTATAATAATTTTTTCAATCCGTATCTCTGTCATGTTTGCAAAACTTCAACGAACCTGCAAATATGTCATTCGTGCCGTTTGATATCTTACTGCTCCAAGGAGCACTTGCAGTTGCATCGAGAGCAACACAAAGAGTTTTGTCTGGCTGTATTAAGCCTGAGTAACGAAATATACTACTCCCATAATATGACGCTTAAGGAATGGACTGCATTAAAGAAGGCTAATGTGAAAAGAGTTAAGCATAAATTGGGTCGCAATCTAGAACCATATGAAGAGCAAATATTGCTATTTGCAAAATCGTGTCTTATATGCCGCCGCCAGAATAACCTGAGTGTCGTTTGCAAGTCATGCACATCAGTCAGCATGTGTTATAGGCACATATCGACTCCTTATGTGCATACCTGCTACTACCTAAAGCTTTGTATAACATTGGATATTCTCAGTGCCGTAAGAAGTGAACGGAATACACAAATCCCGTTAGAGGTTCTAAATTTTACTTATTTGACGGACATGTCAACATATTTTACACATTTAGGACGTAGTTGTGATTTCGATACTTGGAGCTATGTTAATTTTTTACATACTAATTATTTGTCAAGACCATTGACGTTGATCTATTACTTACCAAGTGCAAATATAGAACTGATGTTTTCTACAATCTTCATAATTCACGTTATAGCTGGAAGCTTCACGGATCGAAATAGTCAATCGGCTTGGGAAGCCTTTTTACATCAATTGCTTCCTGATACGTCATTAATGATTATAATGATAGGGCCAAAATTAGAAAAAAGTGTTTATAAAATACACCTTTGTCAAACTTGCCACCGTCAAAATAAGGAAGTTCGTTTTATTTATTATCCTATGACATATAGACATTATAAACGCTCTCGTATATATCTAGCACCACATATAATTATGGGATTTAATATAGATTTTGAGGATGATAGTACGGCTATTCTAGAAGCATTGTGTGAGAATAAACCGTTATTTTTGACCTGCACATCGAAAAATAAGACGCAACAATTCGTTACGGAAATAGAGAAAACATTGTGCATAAAGCCTGCCTTTAATAAGAAGAATAAATTTGCATCTTGTAGACCATATAGAGATGTTGAAAGTGATTCTATAATCTTTCTTCATCAGTATTTAATTATCTATTATGAAACAGCTTGTCAAAAGAGTAACTTAAATATTTCTTATAATTACAACCAACCCAGCACCAGCCGCGGTTTATCTCAAGAATAATCGTCACACTGATCGTATCATTATAAAGAATATACAAGGTAGAAGCCTTTTATAAATTTATATTTTGTTCTTAATTTTTGTATATTTTATTTTCTAAGCATAACATGCTGTTTGTATAATATTTACACACCTAAAAATCATAATTATATTGTATTCCTTTTAATGGTTTCCTTAAAAAATGCTGGGCGTGTCTTTAAAGTCTGTTATGTATTATATTGAAGATAGTGAATATATTTTCGAAGTATTTAATAATACAAACTAACACGCACATATACATATACACATATATAGAATAGAATATTCATTGAGTTACATAATTGTTTTTCATTCTAGGGAGCTCCACATCGAATATGCTGCATTGAAAGAAACGCACGAACAAATCTGTTAATATATAATGCAGCTGAGTGAATACTGAATATGTAAGGTTCTCGTGATATAATACGAAATGGACTAACTTTAAACGAGAGAAAGTTATACAAGTTATTTACGAGCTATATGTTTCACGACCTGAAAGTGTACGAAATCAAATGTTCTCATTTGTGAAATCATGTATTATTTGTCGTTGACAGGATCATCTGGCAGCATGATTCCGACATCGGAAATCTCTTTATTGCTACTAATACAATAAGGATGATTTAGTTATATAATAGATTAAATAGACGTAGAGTTACAATGTTATATGTGCATTTGTTATATATATGTATGTGTATATATATATATATATATATATATATATATATATATATATATATATATATAATATATATATATATATATATATATGTATATGTATATATGTATATGTATATATATGAATATTTTTCGTCATAAATAGTTGTAAAACTTCCCGATGCATGTTACAACATTTGTTTCACGAACTGAAAGTGTACGAAATCAAATGTCCTCTTTTGTCAAATTATGTATTATTTGTCGTTGACAGGGTCATCTGGCTGCATGATTCCGACATCGGAAATCTCTTTATTATTACTAATTCAATAAGGATAATTTAGTTATATAATAGATTAAATAGACGTAGAGTTACAATGTTATATGTGCATTTGTTATATATATGTATGTGTATATATATATATATATATATATATATATATATATATATATATATATATATATGTATATGTATATATGTATATGTATATATATGTATATTTTTCGTCATAAATAGTTATATCATATATAGTTGTAAAACTTCCCGATACATACTACATTTGTATTTTATTGAATTTTGTTGCCTCTCGACCATCGCAAAGTCGACATCTGTACTGAATGCCAGTTCACTGAGTACAAATTGTCATACATGTGAATATAAATATAAATGCTTCGAGCGTTTCACTCTTTCGCGCGCGCTGTTCTAGGTTAATATTATAAAATATCTCTCGTTTCCAAGCGTTAATTACTCGGACATATTTTAGATATTATGTTGACATTTAGACTATCTACGGAGCAATTTTTGTCTGTACAATATAATTAATTTTGCTATTTCAACGTATGCAAATCTAAACAAGCTTTCATGATATATTTTCGGTGTGGTATGATTTTGTATTACAGAAAGAAGCACAGATTTAACGCATCGAGCGAGACATATCGAAGTTTGCATAATATGGTTATAATAATGTTAAGTACATAGTGGAACGTATACAACTCGCGTAATATGACGTTGAAGAAATTGACTATATCCAAAAAGATGTACTTGTATCATATATATAAAAGGAACTTCAATATGATCTGCAGTCGTACGAAGAGCAAATGTCTTTATTTTCAAAATTGTGCCATATTTACCATCAGCAGAATAATTTGTGAATATTGCATGTCTTTTAATATGTATTCCGTTCACCTTTTAACTGATGACGAACATTGTTCCTTCCCTCTTCGGCTTTGCTTGGACCTGAACATCCTCAATGCTTTCACATGTAAAAACAATCGAAACATTCCCGATAATCTTCTGGATGCAAGTGCAAGAGATGTATATAATATGCAATGTTTTGCAACCAGAAGTTTGCAACGTGATTGAAACATATTTTCTTGGCTATATGATAATTATGAATATACTGAATACTTTTCTATACCGTTGACAATGTTTAATGGGATTTTATAAACCAATTTATTACATGTTCTGCCGCCTTCACACGATCTTTTTATACTTCATCTTATAATGTCCAGAAGTTTTATACATGTACACATTTTAGTAGTTTGGAAAATCATTTTTTTATGAACTTCATCCAAATACAAAGCTACTAATTGTAATAATAGTGCCAGAGTTATTGGAAAAATAGTATGTTATTCAAATTTGTGAGAGGTGCATTCACGGTAAAAAAGAACTTCAGTGTATCGTCGGATGTTGTATCATAACTTTGCAACTTCATTGCATATGCAAATAATGTGATTACTGTATTTAACGCAAAATTTAGGAATAATACAATATTAATTAAATAATATAATATTTTAAGTTTAATATAATATTAATAATATAATATTAAACTTAACAGCAATGCAGAGCCAAGATTATCTGTTAATTATGACGTCTACATCGTTAAGTCAAGCGAGTTATAATAACGATATGAAAAGTACTATGCTCACAAATATCACTCTTTGTTAATAAAAGCAATAAATTCCCATCTTTTAAACTACGTAAAGACCATGAGGAGGTTTGTGTACTTTTTTATAATCAAGATTTAATTATCTATCAAAACGTAAATCTTCTGAGTGATTCGTGCTAGAATCTTAATGTGTATAATGTCAACTAGAATTATATGAAAATTTATATACAAAATTTATGTATCACTGTGTCTCAGTGGTATTATGGTAAACTCAAGTTTGTAAAGGACATAGTTTTCATATATCAGATATGTAATTTTTGTATTTAAATGTGTTATCAATATATGTATTTAAAAAAAATATGTATGTGATAATAATTATATTGTTCGTATCTGAAAAGATTATTATCGATAACGTACAGATAGTTGATTAATTGTTTCGCATTATATATGTATATATAACTATATAATTGTTTCCCATTATATATGTAATTGTATATATATATACATATGATATATCAACAATTACGTCTTAACTTAACTGTTCTCATAATGTATACGTCATATATATTATACGTAGCATAAATAATAATTAAAACATATTGTTATACCGCCTTTCCGTTATCGAGAATTTTAGTACGGAAATACTGCTCGATAACGAATATTCATAATTTGTTATCTTTTTCAATACAAATTGTATTGCACCAATATTATTAGAATAAAACACAGGTGCATTAGTAAGCATTTCATTAGTATCTTTCAAATAGTCGTCAAATCAATGTCTATAACGAATATAAAATTTTTTTGCGCATATCAGACTACGAGTTTCGCGCTCTGTATCTCTAAAACCCTCCGTTATAAATAAAACAATTCTAAATATCAATGATATAAATCTATCATTTATATCCCTATTTGCGCAGATTTTACATTATGAAAACAGAATGAAACGCCTAACTTACAACATCCAGCTTTACACTCTATAACTATCTTTTCCACCCTAATCTTTATCACGTCTACAAGTCGCAGATTATGAACATTATGCGTCTAACAGACGTTCTGTTTCTTTTAGATACTTTTTAGACATCTTTAAGATATCTGTAATATGTAATGTCTGAGTATAGTAATATATATACATGCAATGAACAATGTTCTATATCTTTCCTCATGAAAAACACTTAATGAACTGCGATAATATAAGTTTTTTCAAGTAATTAAATTCAAGCTAGTGCTATTTCTCGTATATAATTATATCATCATTTCAAAAATTTTACCTTCAATAATGTGCAAAATAGATTTTTTTCATGTGTCTTCCATATATTTTTATTAAAACATATTAAAAAAGTTTAAGTTTAGTTATATCACTTTCCTTTGAAAAACAATTATCTTTATCACACGTGTAACGATTGAAAGATTCTTTCATGCTTTTTGCGAATTATTATCGCATTTCTATGTGGGCAATGTCTCTGTCTGGGACAAATTAAAAATGGTAGCACAAATACTTAAAGATATGTCCTCATACAATAAGAATTTTATTGGCGCATAAAAGTAGTCATCTGAGGTCAAAACATTACAATATTGTAGTAACATTTTGGATATCGTGAAAAAAGCTATTTACTTTGCAAGAAAGTGAATGCGATTAATGCGGAATTATTGTTATAAGTATTTTAATTGCTTCTTTTGCCCAGAAGCAAACATAATTAATTTGGAATTACTGTAGTAAATATATTAATTATAGCGTAAGAAATCGATATTTCTTAAAATTGCATAGTTTTGAAATCATGTAGTTTTAAGGAATACTCATTTATTACGACATAATTATAATCTAAATATTTGTTACAGTAATTTTGGATTAATTATGTTCATTTTCTGATAAAATAAATAGAAATTTTCAAAGTAATATTATCGCAATATTGCCACAATTTTCATGACATTAGATAAACTGGAGCAAACGGAAATTATTCGCAAGCTATCGAGAAATTTAATGTATAAAGAAATGATGCTCACGATATAAATAAAATATTACATGTTTAGCCGTTATTGAAATTTGATTATAGAATTTTACTGGTAATCAATGTATATAGTTCGTAATATTTTTGTATATAAATATTGGATTGTGTCAACATTTTCAAACTCAAGTAGAAGCACTTCGTTAGTAAACATTTCGTTAGTGTCCTCTGAACAGTTGTCCACCGCTATCTACAAACAATATATAAGTTCTTAAAGCTTAAGCTTTCGAGTTTCATAAGTTATTTTCAAAAATTATTACTTGTAAAAAGAACGTCGCTAAACGTCAATTACATACATACACGCACACACACACACACGCATACTGCATTGAGAGTGCAAGAGGATATGGCAGAGTATATGGCAGAGGATATGGAAAAAGACATGGAAGAGGAGACAGATAAATTGCTACCTCCGCTTTCACATTATAACAACTTTTTCCATCCTAATCTTTGTCATGTCTGTAAGTCGACAGACCAGTGCAAACTGAGCCGTTGCATGAAGTGCGAAATGATCTTTTACTGCAGCGAGGAGCACAGATTGTTGGACCAGAAAGAACATATAGAGATCTGCCAGGCTATAGAAAATGTTATTAAGCAACGAAACATATGGAACAGTCGTAACATGGGGCTGACACAATGGGCTCAATTTAGATTGTTGAATATGAATGCTTTGCAATCTATGGTACAACGTACATTGAAGATATATGAAAAGGAAATATTCTTAAATCCAAAATCATGTTATATTTGCCGCGAACAGCAAAATCTAGTGGAAATTTGTCACGAATGCAAATCTATCAACATGTGTCCTGATCACATATCCGTTCGTAACAATCATGACTGTCAAATGCGACGACGTTTGCTTGCAATAAATATGTTTGTAGCCGCTACGGATGAGGATGAACGAATTCCGGAAAAGCTTCTTTATTTCAAAGAAAATATTAATGACATGAAATCATTTATTGCAGAAAGTTTAAATCATTCAGGTATTTGGCCACTTGAATTTTACATATATAGTGAATACTTCTCAAGGCCGTTGACGCTGTTTTATGGGATGAAGCAAATTTGCAAATTTCCAAATTTATCAAAACTTCCGATGCATGACACATTTGTCATTCATATTATAGATGAACATTTCAAGGAGTTTTTATTTATCGATATCCAGTTAGTACATTATTTAAAGAGAATGCAGTTGAATACTTTATCAGCTTGGGAAATCATTTTACACAAATTTCCTTACATCAAAAATCTGATAATTATAATGATAAAACCAGGATTATTTGATAATGCTGTAAACATAAAGCTTTGTGATGTTTGTAGACGTAAACAAAAAAGTTTATGTTATAGATATATTTCTAAAGAGTATCATGAATATACAAAGAGTCCAGGTTATATGAAACCAAATGTGATTATAAGATATGATGGAGAACTAAAGATTAACCAGAAAACGATATTAAATTTACGAGCAATGCAGCGTGAATACTGCCCTCTACTTTTAGCTTCTTCGTCAGAAATCATGACACAAGATAACATACTTAATATACAGGAAATGTTAGACTTACAATTAACACCTATTTTTAATAATAAAAATAAATTCAAAACTTATAGACCAGTCAAAGATTATATAAATGATTCTGTGTTCGTTCCTCAACAGTATTTAATTGTCTATAAAAACCTATATTCATCGAACTAAAGGCAATAATGATAAATGATAATTATATCGTTACTCTGGTGGTATAACTGTAAATATACAAGACACAATGCTTGAATAAATAGATTTTCTAGATTTTTTAATTTTAATTTTTTAAAGTTGATTTCAAAGACATTTTGTTTAATTTTATTGTTTTCTCCTTGTTCTTTTTTGATGTACTAAATGTACTATATATTAAAGTACTAAATAAATATGCTGGCTGCATTTTTAATATGTAATATGTTTTTCAAGCTTAGGTTTTCCAACCTGAGCTAGTAGTATTTCTTGCTTAAATCGCTACTTTGGAAAATTTATTCTGTGTAATTATATTCTGTGTAATTATTCTGTTTAATTGTATACTGTGAAAAATACATTCCTTTCATATATATATTGTGTATTCCATAACTCTTTATTAAAGTATGTTAAAGGAGCATTATACATAAGTTTTTATATTATTACCTTCTGAAAAATACATATCTTTGTCATGTACGATAGTGTAACGGCCGCAGCACGTTTTATAGGAAATATAAAATATTGTATTTATGTGTGGGAAATATGTCTATTTGAGACAAGTTGAAAATGGTAGGACGCATACTTAAAGGACGATATATAAGCTTCTATATTTAAGATCGTTTTAAGTGCAACTCGAGATGTGCTAAGATTAATGAAACGAGCTGTACAACAAGAATTTTATCATTATGCATTTTTTATTCTTGCACACTTTGTAGGTAATATCGTCGCATTCCTTCGGGAAAGAGTCATGCCCTTCGAGTATTGAGTTAAATGATAATCGTACAAACCCTTCATTCCATTCCTAATTTTATATAAAATATGTTTGATTTTATACTTACAATTAAATCCTTAAAAATATATAATACTAATTCTTATTGTTCTAAGAAATGTTATAGATTTTAAAAAAATGTAGAAGACACGTATTTTTTGCTCCATATTATACAAAGCTCATTCATATAATTACTTAAGAAATTAAGGGTAATCCGTAAAGTAAAAATTCTCCAAATCAACAATGCTAAGAAAAATTAAAAAGAATGTCAAAAAGTGTGGCGAAAAATGTCGATGATCAATGGGACAACTGTAAAAACGTCATATCAGACGTCATATCTGATAGCCTTTAGGATATTTTTAACAAAATTTACATAATCGTAGATGTAAAACGTAAACTTTAGCTGAAGGAGTAATTAGGATATTGCTCTAGGTTCCTGTACTCTGGAAAAACACAGCACAGATGGAAAATTTAATTACAAGTAAAACGAAGAAGGATACGACTTGTTAAAATTCCAATTACTTAGTTTGAATCCTACGGTTATTTCTGTCTTCTTCTAGATGTAACCTAAAGCATTATCCTGATCGACTTTCAGTTAAAGTCTACGTTTTACATCTACGACTACGGCAATTTGTATGAAAACTCTTATGCTTATCTCGTCGGCACTTTGTTTCAACAAAGATAATTTCATCATACTTACGAATTTAAACTATAATATAGATATACTATTATAAGTTTACCCGTTATTGAAATTTGACTATGGAATTTTATTGGTAATCAATGTATACAGTTGGTAATATCTTTATATAAATATTGGATTGTGTCAACATTTTCAAACTCAAGTAGGAGCACTTGTAAACATTTTATTAGTGTCTTCTGAACAGTTGTCGAATCACTATCTACAATTAATATATAGGTTCTTAAAGCTTAAGCTTTGAGTTTCATACGTTATTTTCAAAAATTATACTTGTAGAAGTAACGTCAGTTACATATATACACAGACACACACACACACACGCATATTGCATTGAGAGTAATTACAGAGGATATGGCAGAAGATATGACACAGGATGTGGTAGAGGATGTGGCAGAAGAGGAACATGATTTATTACCTCCGCTTATACATTATAACAATTTTTTCCATCCTAATCTTTGTCATGTTTGTAAGTCGGCAGAACAGAACAAGCTGAGACCTTGCATGAAGTGCAAAATGATCTTTTACTGCAGCGAGAACCATAGACTGTTCGACCAAGTGGAACATAAAGACATCTGCCAGGCTATAGAAAATATAATTAAGCAACGAAATATATGGGATAGTCGTGACATGAATCCGGATCAATGGGCTAACTTTAGAATATCGAATATGAATATTTTTAAGAGTAAGCTGCAACGTAGATTGAAGAGGAATGAAATGGAAATATTCTTAAATGTAAAATCATGTTTTATTTGCCGCGAACAGCAAAATCTAGTTGACATTTGTCATGTCTGTAAATCTATCAACATGTGCTCTAACCACAAATTCATTAGTGAAGACCATGACTGTAAAATACGAGAAGTTTTTCTCAAAATAAATATCTTTGTAGCCGGTAGGAATGAGGATCGAAAAATTCCGAGAAGGCTTCTTTATTTACAACCAGGTGTTAATGACATGACATCACTTATTCAAGAAAACTTAAATTATTCAGGTTCAAATTTTTGGCCACTTCAATTTCACATATATAGTGAAAACCTTACAAAGCCGTTGACGCTGTTTTACGGGGTGAAGGTTGCATATTTACAAGAACATCTGCCGATGCGTGGTAACTTTGTCATTCATGTTATAGATGAATACTTCCAGTTCTCGAATACTTTATCAGCTTGGGAAATCATTTTACACGAATTTTCTGACATCACAGATCTGACAATTATAATAATAAATTCAAAATTCTGCGATAATTTTATAAACGTAGAGCTTTGTTATACTTGCAGAATAAAGCAGAAAAATATACAATATGAATCTATTTCTATGGAGTATTATAAATATAGAAAAATATCGACTTTTAAGTGTGCAGATGTGATTATAGGATATGATGTAGAATTGCGGAATAATCAGATAACGATGTTAAATTTACGAGCAATGCAGTTTGAATGCTGCCCTATATTTTTAGCTTCTTCGTCAAAAATTACGACGCAGTGTAACATAATTAATATACAGGAAATGTTACGCTTACACTTAGCACCAATTTTTAATAATATAAATAAATTCCCATCTTATAGACCAGTGAGGGATTATAAAAATGATACTGTTGTTTTTCCTCAGCAGTATTTAATTGTCTACTTGCACCTATGGTCAAATCAGGAATGAATATTATGAATATCAGAAATATCAGAATATCAGAAATGAATATTAGAAATGAATATTATTAGATGATAATTATATCGTTACTCTGGTAGTATAATTGTAAATATACAAGATACAGTGCTTAGACGATTCGTTTTTTGAGAATTTTTGGATTTTTATTTTAAAACTGACTTCGAAGTATGTTTCATTTAGTTTTATTGTTTTCTCCTTGTTTTGTTGTTGTTGTACTAAATGTATTTTGTATTAAAGTACTAAATAAATATACTTCATGCATTTTTAATATGTATTAATGATATATATCATTAATAGTAAAAGTATTTTCAGATACACAAGTTAATACAGAGGAACTGAATGATATGATACTTCGTTCGTAATAAATTTGCATTTAATTACCGACAGTAATATATGCTTTTCAAGCTTAGGTTTTCCAACCTAAGTTAGTGACATCTCTTGCGTAAAATTATATCGCTACTTTGGAAAGTTTATTGTTAATTGTATACTGTGCAAAATATATTCTTCTTATATATATATTGTGTAGTCCATATATTTTTATTAAAATATATTAAAGGAGCATTATATATAAGCTTTTATATTATCACCTTCTGAAAAACACGTATCTTTGTCATGTATGACGGTGTAATGGCCGTTGCACATTTTATAGAAAATATTATTGTATTTCTGTGTGGGAAATGTATCTATCAGGGACAAATTAAAAATGGTAGGACGCATACTTAAAGGACGGTATATAGTGTGAAAAATAAATCTTACTGAGTATATAATATTGTATTTAAGATCATTTTAAGTGCAACTCGAGATGTTCTGTGACTAATAAAACGAGCTGCACAACAAGAATTTTATCATTATGCATTCTTGATTTTTGCACACTTTGTGGATAATATCGTCGCATTCCTTCAAGAAAGGATCATTCGCTTTGAGTATTGAGATAGATGATAATCGTACAAAACTTTCAGGTAATTATGAATAAAATTGTTGATCTCATACATTGTAATCATCTTGACATATGTTATCAAGGTCATGATCCTGAGTAACATGCAAAAGATTTCACTGTTGCTCGTTGTATGTTAAAAAGTTATTAAAGTTTACCATTTTTATGTGATAATTCGAACCTTCGCGCTTTGTCAGTTGTTATTCATGTACGGTTTACTCTATTTCAATAGGCAGCTGTATTTTTCTTTGTACTTTACATCCTTCATAAGTTGTTATTCGCTTAATGTGTTACAATACATCAGAGATTTAACATTAAATTTCAAAATAAAACTGTATGAGGGAGTTTCTAAATATTTGTAATAATTATGAACTTGTTAATTACTTAATAGAGCCTAAAATTAGTAAAATCAAACCAATTATTATGTTTATATTATATTTTAAATGTATTATTTATTAATTTTTCAGTAAACATCGAGCTAAAATCTCGATTTGTGAAAATTTAAAGTTTTTTAAGCACGTACACACATACATACACACACACTGCTCGCCCGCCCGCCCGGGCTCGCGGTGTATGCGTGTGTTCCTATTATATTTGACAGAGGGGGAGAGTCAAGTCTGTTGTACTTAAGCTAAACAGTGAGAATTTCTCACAAGAGTGTGAAAAAAAGTGTGTATTTATGAAACTTCAAATATAATAGGAACACACGCACATGTATTTACGTGTACTGTTTACGATATTTTAAAGTATGCTATGTACCGCAATTACGTTCCGTTTATAAAAGGTTTTGTCAATAATTCTTTACAAACGACGAGCGACAGTTAAAATCTTTTGCACATTACTCAGAATAATGACATTGACAACGTATGTCAAGGTGATTGAAATCTATGAAGTCGCCAATATTATATATAATTACTTTAATAATTACCTTAATTTTTATTGTTCTAAAAAATGTTATAGATTAAAAAAAATATAGGAGACTTGTATTTTTTGCTTACGTGCTAATTTGCGTATTCGAAAGAATACGTCAGAAATATAATATTTAAGTATATATATTTAAATATTATATCTAGAATATAATATATGTAATCTAAACATGCAGTTTAAGTCGAATATGTTTAATTTATAGGAAATAATCTCATCAAAACAATAGCATATAAGAAAAATGTGCGATATAAAAGTTTTATAACATTTTATATGTTATATATTTATATGTTTTATATTACTTATAGTGCGTTTAAAATTTCAAAAAATGTGTAAAATTTTTAATTGGCTTTCTGTCCCCTGTTATTATTGTAAATTTAATACGTTCTCTACCAAGGTAATACATGTGTAACATATCGATCTCTCACGCGGGATCTGACGTAAACGTCACAAAGTGTGACAGCGATTACTTTCCGTTCAATGTCCACATAAACAAAGTTTATTTATATACTTACTTAAGAAATGAAAGGTAATCTGTAAGGGAAAAATTCTCCGAATCAATCGTGTTAGGAAAGATGTAAGGGGGATGTCAAAAAGTGTGACGAAAAATGATCGATGGAACGACTGCAATAACGTCGTGCCTAATAGCTTTTAGAATTTTCTTAAAAAAAAATTTATTAATCATAGATGTAAAACATAAACTTTAGCTGAAGAAATAATTATGATATTGCTCTAAGCTCCTGTATTCTGGAAGAAAATAGCACAGACGGTAAATCTAATCACAAGTAAAACAAAACACGATTCGATTTATTCAAATCCCAATTACTTAGTTTAAATCATGCACGGTTACTTCTGTCTTCTTCTAAATGCAACCTAAAGCATTATCCTGATCGATCCTTCAGTTAAAGTCTACGTTTTACATCTATGATTACGGCAATTTGTATGAAAAATCTTATGCTTATTTCGTTGGCACTTTGTTTCAACAAGAATAATTTCACCATACATAGAGAGAACGATTTGGTTGAATCAAATAAACGCTTCTTTGGAATAGTCCAAACGAATTTTTCGATTGATCGAATAAAATTTTGTTTAAAATAACAAAAATATTTATTTGCGGCTTAGTTCCAAAGAAATATTTTTGTTGTGTCAACCTAATAATTTGATTGGACTATTCCAAAGAAACATTTATTTGATTCAATAAATCATCCTTTTGGTGTACTTACAAATTTAAAATATAATATAAATACACTATTATAAGTTTACCCGTTATTGAAATTTGATTATGGAATCTTACTGCTAATCAATACATATAGTTCGTATCTTTACATAAATATTGGATCATGTCAACATTCTCAAACTCAAATAGGAGCACTTGTAAACATTTTATTAGTGTTCTCTGGACAGTTGCCGAATTGCTATCTACAATCAATGTATAAATTCTCAAAGCTTAAACTTCCGAGTTTCATATGTTATTTTCAAAAATTGTTATACTTGTAAAAAGAACGTCCCTAAACGTTTGGTACATATATATATATACGCATACATATGCACGCATACTGCATTGAGAGTAATCACAGAAAATATGGCAGAGAATGAGGCACATAACAAACAACTTCCGCTTTTATATTACAACGATTTTTTCCATCCTAATCTTTGTCATGTTTGTAAGTCGGCAGGACAGAGCAAGCTCAGTCGTTGCATGAAGTGCAAAATGGTCTTTTACTGCAGCGAAAACCATAGGCTGTTGGACGAAATGGAACATAAAGAAATTTGCCAGGCAATAGAAAATGTTATTGAGCAAAAAAACATATGGGACAGTCGTAACATGAACCCGGAAGAATGGGCTATCTTTAGATGGTCAAATGTGAATGCTTTGAAGAGTACACTGCAACGTAGATTGAGGAGGAATGAAACGGAAATATTCTTAAATGCAAAATCATGTTTTATTTGTCGCGAACAGCATAATATAGACATTTGTCACGTCTGCAAATCTATCAACATGTGCTCTGATCACAAATCCCTTAGTAAAAGCCATAAATGTGCAATGAGGGAACTTTTTCTTGAAATAAATATCTTTACAGCCAATATGAATAAGGATCTACCAATTCCGGAAAGGCTTCTTCATTTGAAACCAACCACTAATAATATGAAATCATTTATTGAAGAAAGCTTAGATTATTCAGAGAGTACAAATCGTTGGCCACTTAAATTTTACATATATAGTGAAAATTTGTCAAAGCCGTTGACGCTGCTTTACGGGATGAACGTTGCAAATTTATTACCACATCTATCGATGCATGATACCTTTGTCATTCATATTATAGGTGAAAACTTCGAGTTCTGGAAATCTTTATCAGCTTGGGAAATCATGTTGCACGAACTTTCTCACATCACAAACCTGATAATTATCATGAAAGATCCAAGACTTTGGGATAATACTATAAACATACAGCTTTGTGATATTTGCACACGTAACCAGAAAACATTATTGTATGAATCTATTGCTAAGGAGTATCATGAATATACAGAAAGATCGATTTATGGGACTGCAGATGTGATTATAGGATATGATGTAGAATTGCAGAATAACCAGATAACGATGTTAAATTTACAAGCAATGCAGCGTGAACACTGCCCTGTACTTTTAACTTCTTCGTCAACAATTATGACGCAGTATAACATAATTAATATAAGGAATATGTTAAAGTTCCACTTAGAACCAATTTTTAATAATATAAATAAATTCCCATCTTATAGACCAGTGATGGATTATAAAAGAGATACTGTTGTCTTTCCTCATCAGTATTTAATTGTCTATCAGGACCTATAAGCAAACGAAATCAATAATATTAGATAATAATTATGTCGTTACTCTGGTGGTATAACTATAAATATGCAGGATACAATGCTTGAATAAATGGATTTTTGAGAATTTTCCGATTTTTTATTATTTTAAAGCTGATTTCGAAGACATGTTTTGTTTAATTTTATTGCTCTCTCCTTGTTCTTTTTTTTAGTATACTAAAAAAAAAGTAAAAATGTACTATGTATTAAAGTACTAAATGTACTATGTATTAAAGTACTAAATAAATATACTTAATGCATTTTTAATATGTATCAATAATATATATTATTAATAGTATAAGTATTTTTAGATGCATGAGATAATACCGAGAGACAGAATGATATGATACTTCGTTCGTACATGCATTTTATTATCGACAGTAATATGTTTTTCAAGCTGAGGTTTTCCAACCTAAGCTAGTGGTATTTCTTGCCTAAATCGTTACTTTGGAAAGTTTACTGTTAATTGTATACTGTGAAAAATATATTCTTCTCATATATATTGTATATTCCATATACTTTTATTAAAGTATGTGAAAAGAGCATTATACGTAAGTTTTTATATTATCACCTTCTGAAAAACACGTATCTTTGTTATATATGATGGTATAATGGCCGTTGCATGTTATATAGGAAATATTATTGCATTTCCGTATGAGAAATATATCTATTTGGGACAAGTTAAAAATGGTAGGACGCATAATTAAAGGATGATATATAGTTTCTGTATTTAAGATCGTTTTAAGTGCAACTCGAGATGTTTTGTGACCAATGAAGCGAGCTCTACAACAAAAATTTTATCAGTATATTCTTGATTCTTGCGCACTTTGTGGATAATATCGCATTCCTTCGGGAAAGAGTCATTCCCTTTGAACATTGAGTTAAATGATAATCGTACAACACCTTATCCTGTTCCTAATTTTATATAAAATATGTTTGATTTTATACTTACAATATGTTATGTTTGATTTTATACTTACAACTTATATGTTTGATTTTATACTTACAACGAAATCCTTAGAAATGTACGATACTAATTCTTATTGTACTAAGAAATATTATAGATTTAAAAAAAATATAGGGGATTCGTATTTTTTTTGCTTATGTGCTAATTTTTATGTTCGGAAGAATACGTCAGAAGTATAATATTTAAGTATATATATTTAAGTATTATATTTAGAGTTTAATTTATGTAATGTGATAATGTTATTTAAGTCAAATATATTTAATTTACAGAAAAACAATCTCTTCGAAACAATAGCATATGAAAAAGTGTTTCATATGAACGTTTTATGACATTTTAGATTGCTCATAGTGAGTTTAGAATTTCCGAAATTGTGTCAATTCTTAAATGTTTTCCTGTCGCTCTTATTATTGTAAATTTAACATGTTTTCTAACAAGGTCACATACGTGTGACATATCGATCTCTCACGACACAAATTTTGACAGCGATAACTTTTCATTCGATATCCACAGTAATAAATTCATATAATTACTTAAAAAATGAAAGATAATCCGTAAAGGAAAAACTCTGAAAATCAACCGTGTTAGGAAAGATATAAAAGGAATGTCAAAAAGTGTGACGAAATATATCGGGGATCGATGGATGAACTGTAGAAACATCATGTCTGATAGCTATTAGGATTTTAAGGATTTTCTTCTTAGAAAAAAAATTTACATAATCCTAGATGTAAATCGTAATTCGCTTTAGCTGAAGAGCTAATTAGGATATTGCTCTAGATTCCTATACTTTGGCAGAAGACAGCACAGACGGTAAATCTAATAACAAGTAAAAGGAAATTCGATTCGACTTATAAAAATTCTAATTACTTAGTTTAAAACACGCACGGTTACTTCTATCTTCTTCTAAATGCAACCTAAAGCATTATCCTGATCGGTCTTTCAGTTAAAGTTTACGTTTTACATTTACGGCAATTAGTATGAAAATTCTTATGCTTATCTCGTCAACACTTTGTTCCAACAAGGATAACTTCATCATACTTAGGAGTTTAAGCTATATCATAAATATTATATAACTATTATAAGTCTACCTGTTATTGAAATTTGATTATGGAATTCTATTGGTAACTAAGTACTGGTACTTCAATGTATATAATTCGTAATATCTTTGTATAAATATTGAATTGTGTCAACAGTTTCAAACTCAAGTAGGAGCACATGTAAACATTTCATTAGTGTCCTCTGGACAGTTGTAGAATCGCTATCTACAATCAATATATAAGTTCTTAAAGCTTAAACTTTCGAGTTTCATACGTTATTTTCAAAAATTGTTATACTTGTAGAAAAGACGTCCATAAATGTCAGTTACATATATACGAACATTTATATGAACACATATGCACGCATACTGCATTGAGAGTAATCGCAGGAAATATGGCAGAGGATATGTCAAAAGATATGACAGAGGATGTGGCAGAGAATATGGCGGAGGAGGAACATGACCTACGACCTCCCCTTTTACATTACAACAACTTTTTCCATCCTAATCTTTGTCATGTTTGTAAGTCGACAGAACAGAACAAGCTGAGACCTTGCATGAAGTGCAAAATGATCTTTTACTGCAGCGAGAACCATAGACTGTTTGACCAAGTGGAACATAAAGACATCTGCCAAGCTATAGAAAATGTAATTAAGCAAAAAGATATATGGAGTAGTCGTAAAATGAACCCGAAAGAATGGATTAACTTTAGAGGCTCGAATGTAGATGCTTTGAAGAGTATGCTGCAACGTAAATTGAAGAAGTATGAAATGGAATTATTTTTAAATGTAAAATCATGTTTTATTTGCCGCGAACAGCAAAATCTAGTTGACATTTGTTACATTTGCAAATCTATCAACATGTGCTCTGATCATAAATCAATTAGTAAAAGCCATAACTGTGAAATGAGAAAACTTTCTCTTGAAATAAATATTTTTGCAGCCGGTAATGGTGAGCATCAACGAATTCCGACAGAGCTTCTTCATTTAAAATCAAACATTAATGACATGAAATCATTTATTGAAGAAAGTTTAGATTATTCAGAGAGTATAAATCGTTGGCCACTTAAATTTTACATGTATAGTGAAAACTTCTCAAAGCCGTTGACGCTGCTTTACGGGATAAAGGTTGCAAATTTATCACCACTTCTGCCAATGCATGGTACCTTTGTCATTCATATTATATATGGAAACTTTGTGCTCTACAAACTTTCATTAGCTTGGGAAATCATGTTGCACGAACTTTCTCACATCACAAATCTGATAATTATAATAATAGAGCCAATACTCGGGGATAATGCTATAAACATACAGCTTTGTGATATTTGCACACATAGCAAGAAAAGTTTACAGTATATAATTATTTCTAAGAATTATCATGAATATAGAGAGAGTGTGACTTTTAAAAGAGCAAATCTGATTATAGTATATGATGCAGAATTGCAGAATAACCAGATAACGGTATTAAATTTACAAGCAATGCAGCGTGAACACTGCCCTGTACTTTTAACTTCTTCATCAGAATATGTGACTCAAAATAACATAATTAATATACAGGAAATGTTAGGCTTACACTTAGCACCAATTTTTAATAATATAAATAAATTCTTATCTCATAGACCAATCAGGGATTATGTGAATGACAATGTGTTCATTCCTTGTCAGTATCTAATTGTCTATCAGGGCCTATATTCAACCAAACGAAATCAATAATATTAGATGATAATTTTGTCGTTTCTCTGGTGGTATAATTGTAAATATGCAGGATACAATGCTTGGATGAATGGATTTTTGAGAATTTTCCGATTTCTTATTATTTTAAAGCTGATTTCGAAGACATGTTTTGTTTAGTTTTATTGCTCTCTCCTTGTTCTTTTTTTAGTGTACTAAATATACTATGTATTAAAGTATTAAATAAATATACTTGATGCATTTTCAATATGTATTAATAATATATATTATTAATAGTATAAGTATTTTTAGCTGAATGAGATAACACCGAGAGACAGAATGATATAATACTTCTTTCGTAATATGCATTTAATTATCTACAGTAATATGTTTTTCAAGCTTAGGTTTTCCAACTATTTCTTGCCTAAATCGCTACTTGGAAAGTTTATTGTTAATTGTATACTGTGCAAAATACATTCTTCTCATATATATTGTGTATTCCATATATTTTTATTAAAGTTTGTTAAAGGAGCATTATATATAAGCTTTTATATTATCACCTTCTGAAAAACACATATCTTTGTCATGTATAACGGTAACGGCCGTTGCACGTTTTATAGGAAATATAAAATATTGTATTTATGTGTGGGAAATATATCTATCTGGGACAAGTTGAAAATGGTAGGACACATACTTAGAGGGCGGTATGTAGTCCCTATATTTAAGATTATTTTAAATGCAACTCAGTTGCTTTGATGCTACACCATTCACCAGATCGACAGTTACTCTAAAGTTTCTACCAGCCGTGTCCGTTTCTAGCTGATCGTTTTTCATGACTGTTAATTCATTCGGCAAGCGGGAATGTGTCAAAATAGAAGTGACATTTTGAAAGTTTTTCGTGTTAATATTTTATTTTAATATTCTCACAATATTTTCTCTAAAACTATTCGTTATTTGATAAGCGCTCCAGAATATTAATAAGCATCCTACTGTACTATATTAGAAAAAAATATTTTAAGTAAAAAAAGTATTTAAAAATATTTTTTTATTTACTTTTAACATTCTTACTCTTCTTCTACTGGTTGCGCGTTACACGTGAACGGATAGTCTTCTGATAAAAACATGTATGTAAGAAACGTCAAGCTGTCAAAATGTTACTTCTGTTTTGACACATTTCCGCTTGCCTGATGAATCAACAGTCATGGAAAACGATCAGCTAGAAACGGACACGGATGGTTGAAATTTTCTAGTAATTATCAATCTAGAGAATGATATAGCATCAATGCAATTGGATGTACTGTGACCAATGAAACGAGCTGTACAATAAGAATTGTATCATTACGCGCTCATGATACTTGTGGATAATTTCGTCACATTCTTTCGGGAAAGAATTCCTGAATGTCATTCTCTTCGAGCATTGAGCTAAAATGATTATCGTATAAAGCTTTCATTCTATTCGTAATTTTTATATAAAATATGTTTGATTTAATACTTACAACTAAATCTTTAGAAATGTACAATACTAATTTTTATTGTTTTAAGAACAGTTATAGATTAAAGAAAAATATAGAAGACTTGTATTTTTTGTTTACATGCTAATTTGCGTGTACGAAAAAATGCATCAGAAGTATAATGTTTAAGTATATATATTGAAGCATTATATCTCGAATGTAATATATGTAATGTAAACATGTAATTTAAGTCAAATATGTTTAATTTATAGGAAATAATCTCATCAAAACAATAGCATATAAGAAAGTGTGTGATATAAAAATTCTACGATATTTTATATTGCTTATAGTGCATTTAGAATTTTCAAAAATATGTCAATTTTTAATTGCCTTTCTGTCCCTCTCATTCTTATAAATTTAACACGTTCTCTACCAAGGTCGCATACGTGTGACATATCGATTTCTCACGAGGGATCTCGCAAACGTCACAAAGTGTGACAGCGATAACTTCTCGTTCGATTTCCATATGAACAAAGCTCATATAAATATTCATATAATTAAGAAATAAAGGATCATCTATAAAGGAAAAATTCTCCAAATCAACCATGTTAAGAAAGATGTAAAGGGGATGTCAAAAAATGTGGCGAAAAATGTCGATGATCGATGGACCGACTGTAAAAACGTCATATCAGACGTTATGTCTGATAGTCTTTAGGATTTTCTTAAAAAAAATTTACATAATCGTAGATATAAAATATAAACTTTAGCTGAAGAGCTAATCAGGATATTACTCTAAGTACTCTGGCAAAAGACAGCACGAACGGTAAATCTAATAACAAGTAAAAAGAAATTCTATTCGACTTATTAAAATTCCAATTACTTAGTTTAAAACACGCACGGTTACTTCTGTCTTCTTTTAGATGCAACTTAAAGCATTATCCTGATCGATCCTTCAATTAAACGTTTTGCATCTACGTTTACGGTCATTTGTATGAAAACTCTTATGATTATCTCATCGACGCTTTGCTCCAACAAAGATAATTTCATCATACGAGTTTAAATTATAATATAAATACACTATTATAAGTGTACCCGTTATTGAAATTTGATTATGAAATTATACTGGGAATCAATGTATATAGTTCGTAATATCTTTGTATAAATATTGGGTTGTGTCAACATTTTCATGCTCAAGTAGGAGCACATGTAAACATTTCATTAGTGTCCTCTGGACAGTTGTTGAATCTACAATCAATATATAAGTTCTTAAAGCTTAAGCTTTCGAGTTTGATACGTTATTTTCAAAAATTGTTGTATTTGTAAAAAGAACGTTCCTAAACGTCAGTTACATACATACACGCATTAACACGCACGCATACCGCATTGAGAGTAATGACAGAAAATATGGAAGAGTGTAAGTCAGAAAATATGGCAGACGATATGACAAAGGATGTGACAGAGATTGTGGCAGACTTTATGGCAGATTTTATGGCAAAGAATCTGACAGAAGATATGGCAGAGTATATGGTATTGGATGAGGAAGAGGATATGGCAGAGGATGTGGCAGAGGATGTGGCAGAGGATGTGGCAGAGGATGTGGCAGAGGATGTGGCAGAAGATGTGATAGAGGATGTGGCAGAGGAGGCACATAACTTACTACTTTCGCGTTTAAATTATAACATTTTTTTCCACCCCAATCTTTGTCATGTTTGTAAGTCGGCAGAACAGAACAAGCTGAGACCTTGCATGAAGTGCAAAATGATCTTTTACTGCAGCGAGGAGCACAGGCTGTTGGACGAAAAGAAACATCAAGAGATCTGCCAGATTATAAAAAATATTATTGAGGAAAAAAACGTGTGGCAGAATCGTAACATGGAGCCGCAGAAATGGTTTGATTTGAGATGGTCGAATATGAATGATTTGCAGCGAATGGTACAACGTAGATTGAGGCGCAATGAAACGGAAATATTCTTAAATGTGAAATCATGTTTTATTTGCCGCGAACAGCAAAATCTAGTTGATATTTGTCACGTCTGCAAATCTATCAACATGTGCGCTATTCACACAGCCATTAATAAAAACCATAACTGTGAAATGCGAAAACTTTCTCTTGAAATAAACATATTTACAGCCGGTAGGGATGAGGATCAAGTAATTCCGGCAAAGCTTCTTTATTTAAAACCAAACATTCCTGACATGAAATCATTTATTGAAAAAAGCTTAAATTATTCAAAGAGTTCAAATTCTTGGCCACTTCAATTTTACGTATATAGTGAAATCTTCGCAAGGCCGTTGACGCTGCTTTACGGGTTGAAGGTTGTAAATTTATCACAACTTCTGTCGATACATGATACCTTTGTCATTCATGTTATAAATGGACACTTCAACCTCTCGAATAATTTATTAGCTTGGGAAATCATTTTACACGAATTTCCTCGCATCACAAATCTGATAATTATAATGATAAGTTCAACACTCTGGGATAATACTAGAGACATACAGCTTTGTGATATTTGCACACGTAATCGGAAAAGGTTACGGTATAGATACGTTTCTAAGGAGTATCATGAATATATAGGGACTTCGATTTATATGCGACCAGTTGTGATTATAGGATATGATGGGGAATTGGATAATAACAATACATCGACATTAAATGCACGAGCAATGCAGCGTGAATATTGCCCGGTACTTTTAGCTTCTTCGTCAGTAATTGAGACACAAAGGAACATCCTTTATATGCAGGAAGTGTTAAACATACACTTAACACCAATTTTTAATAATAAGAATAAATTTCCATCTCATAGACCAATCAGAGATTATGTGAATGACACTGTGTACATTCCTCAGCTGTATTTAATTGTCTATCAAAACCTGGTTACCACAACAAATTGAGTAATACTAGATGATAATTATTCGGTTACTCTGGTGATATAATTATAAATATACAAGACACAATGCTTGGACGAATGGATTTTTGAGAATTTTTTATTTTTTATTATTTTAAAGCTGATTTCGAAAACATGTTTTGTTTAGTTTTATTGCTTTCTCCTCGTTCTTTTTTTGATGTATTAAATGTATTGTGTATTAAAATACTAAATAAATATACTAGGTGCGTTTTTAATACGTTACTATATTACCATATATACTAATATGTTACTATATTACTATATATGTTAATATATGTTATATATGCTTTTAATATGTTACTATATTACTATATATGTTAATACTATTACTGTATATTATTAAATCATCCTGCAAACTTTTCCTATAACTTTAAATTTAGTTGTAATGATATCGTAATCTTCTTTGAAATTTTCTTAAAACCAAATACGCATTTGATATATACAAGCTGAAACTTTTTATAAAATAAATATTTCCGCTCTAATCGATAACTTAAGATATAAATTTTGAAATTTTTTATTATTTCTGTTACACATTAAGCACAATAATTCAATTAGTTTTTGCATACTTACTCTTATTATGTAAAAAAATTTGTAATTCTGTGCAGCCAATGTGATGTAAACTTTACAGAAAAAGGTCAGTATCTTTTGGTAAAGTTTTCAAGTATGGCGTCCCTTAAAACTTTTGTTACGGATGAAAAATAAATAACATTAACCTTCTGAGAACCGTTATTTTTTTATCGACTTTTTTATTTTAAGAGCTAGAACCTTTTTGTCAATGTCATTGGATTGAATGGGAAAAAAGCTGACACCGTCGTCGCATCGATATATCGGCTTCCGATCCTCCAAAGGTTAAAGAACAAAACTCTTGGTACAATATTATGTACAAGTTTGAACATGGTTTCTCACATATTTTCACTTGAGTTAAGAAAACAATAAAAAGTATTTGTTTAGTATTGTTCAGTATATTTCAATCAGAATCAGCCCGATGATTAAGGCTTGGCAATTTTCTTATAGTAAAAATTATCTTTTTGAACAATTAATAGAGATATCAGGATAGTGCACTCAAAGTTTGTTCATTAATATCTTTTCTTATTATTACATAGTTAAGTTTTACGTCGACAGTTTAATAGTATAATTATTTATTATTAGGCTGTTTATCTCATTGCACTCTTCTTTGAGCCTCTTTTTCTTTCTTTCCTTTTAATTATGAGACTTGAGTCTCTATTTTATTGTTCTCTTTTTGATGGCTTAGTGTTTAAACATCGAGGTATATTCTAACTTGTTTCTCCATTGTTGTTTACGTATCATGTCATTGTATCTGATTTTAATAAAAAAAAGTGCTAGTGTTATTAACTAATAAGAGAAAATCTGCATGTTATGTGGTCTTGCTTCTCTATTCATGGTTTAATTATTAGAGATAATGTAGCATTTGGATTCTTTATTACTTTTACGAGTACTCTTTGAGTAGTCTTGTCTTAAAATTTTATGTGAATTCTCGTGTAATTCCCTGGCGATATATCGTCAAAAGTATTCAGTACTCATGAAAAGGTGTACCGCAGTTTTGTTCTTCCTGAAGTGAAAATAACTTTTGTACTCAGAAATATCTTATTAAATTAGTTTTAGGATATTAAGATAATTAGACTGTTTTACGGTGATTTTTATGAAATGTGTGTATCACAATTGTTACCACAATTGTTACCATAAGGATAACATGACAATCATATAAGTATAATATTTCACACATCCACTATTAGAGTTTATTTGACATGCTCTTTCCACCTGGTATTATTTTTTTATGTAAATTTATAAAATAGACTTGGTTTGACAAAATAGATATGAAGAAAAAGATTTTGGTATCATATAATAAGCCTGTTCTTTTCCAAAGAACTTTCTAAACATAGACTAGTGTAATAAGTTAGTGAGAGAAGTATATATTGTTTCACTTTAATTTATTACATCAATGTATACTAATTTAGGAAGTTTCTCGAAAAGAAACAAACTTTCGCGTTAATAAGGTACATATAATCTGTCGTAAACTTTGCGTTAACTTCCAATATTCCAAGTGATAACGAGGAGTTCGTAGTTTGTTACTTTCAAATACAAATCGGATTATCAACACGCGAGAACACAGCGAAATGCTTGTAAATATCTTATTAGTGTCCCCCAAACAAGAACCTAATCGACCTCTATATTGGCAAACAAGAACCTAATCAACATCTATATTGGCATATACATAATATTCTTAAATCGGCGCGCACGATGTGCTTCACTCATTGTTTCTGAATCGATACTATAAATAAAGCATTCCGAGAAGCGTCACAGTTTAAAGACATTCTGTTCAGAAAATAATGACGCAAAACAGACCAGAAATACTTGAATCACCCGTTTTAAATTATAACTACTATTTTAATCCAAACATCTGTCACGTTTGTAAGGAGGATTGCGTGTATCAAGAATGTCCTGCATGCCGCAAGATCTATTACTGCAGCGAGGAACACATGATGCTGCATCTGCCACAACATCGGGAGATCTGTGAGGCTATAGTCAAAGTAAGTAAGAGCAGAGACATGCTCAACTTCCGTGGTACGACGAAGCAATGGAACAATTTTAAGAAAGAGAATATGGAAGCTGTCAAGCAGGAGCTACGCCGCGACTTAGCTCCGTACGAACAACAAATGTTCTTGTTCGCAAAGTCGTGTCGCATTTGCCATCTGCAAGATAACCTGCAAGTCATTTGTCGTCACTGCTTATACGGCAACATGTGCAGTGATCACATTTTGCTTTTTCAAAAGGACCATAACTGTGCAAATAGACGACAATGTTTTATGTTAGATATCTCTCAAGCTAAACAGGACCCTAACAAAAGAGTGTTAGGGAAAATAGATTCGTATATAGACCCAGACACTATTTATGATACAGAATCATTTCTACAACTGTGGATGCGAGAGGCAGAAGTTTTGCAGTTTTTTCATCTTGAATTTACTGATTACTTTTCTAGACCGTTGACATTGTTTTACGGATTGCGAGACGCTAATTTGTTACGCAATATGCCATTGAGGACTACCCTCGTCATTCATATTATAGACGGAAGCTTTAACGATATAAATAGTTTATTAGCTTGGGAATTCCTTTTACATCAATGTGGTCCAGCTGCAAAGATACTAATTATAATGATAGGTCCAGATTTGCAAGAGAAATGCCATGACATTGAATTATGTGATATTTGCTTGAGCCAAGAAAGGACACTTCAATATAAGTATTATCGTAATTTCTATCACGATTACGTAGTTAGTAGGGACTTACAACCGCCACATGTGATTATAGGATTCAACGCAGAATTTAGTGATGCGGAGATAATGACGTCCACTATACAAGCAGTGCGGCGTCAAAACTGCATCTTTCTTCTAACGACTAAATCGGAATATAAAGCGAAAGAGTATATAAATAAGATACAGAAAATATTGGACAGGTCCGCCTTAATACCTGTTATTAGTACAAAAAATAATTTCGTATCTTGGAGACAATATAGAAACCATGAGAATAATTATGTTTTTTGTCCTAATCACTATTTAATTATATATGTGGACTTAATGTTTATAAGAGAACCAATCCAAGTCAGCAGCAAGTAAATATGATTATGTCATCACTCTGGTGACTGTACAAATGATATGTGTTTGAAATTTTTAATTAATGATTACAATTTTTCTTTACGAGATTTGTTGAGTTTTAAATATGTTATTAAAAGAGAAAGTGTAACGTATTTGAAAGTGTAACGAACGACGAATTCCTATTAAAAGAAAATTATATTGAGAACTTTTTAGTAATTTCTAAATTAGCTATTGCTGTTCTCTGAAAATACTATGAAAACTTCTAAAAAAAAGTACTGATTATATTTTTAATAAGTATTATGAATCTGATATTTCTTTAACATTTAATGTAGAGTAATGTTCAATATTATCTCCAGAGATTGATGTCTCGTGGGTTTGTTAATATTTGGAAACAAATCGATGAGCATGTGACATCACCCAAAAGTCAAACCGAGAATTATGAAAATTGAAAATATTTTCAGAGGTACAGGATTATATAAGAATTATATGTATAGGAGTGATGATATATTTCTTTGTAATAAACATTTAGTTATCTATGATATGATGTTATAATAATATAAACTAATAATAAAAATTTTTAAAGCGATAAAATTATAATAGCAGCTCCCGCATATGATTGTTTTGTCATTTTAACAATATCATTATAAATAGTAAATGGATTTTTTTATGTAAATATTCCAAATATATTCAATAAAACATATTTTGAAAAGGCGTTTTTTTAAATCATAGTTACTATTACTACCTGAGGTACTATCATATATTTTTGGCTTACTAAGAAAGAATTAAGCTTATAGAATAATTTAATAGAAGAGACTCACAATTTATTATGCATTTTTTCGCGGATCTAGAAGGAAGATGATGACGAAATCGAAATCCTTGAAGAACGCAAATGTATAAAGTGTATGACAATCTTCGATTGCAAAGATTTTTCTTGCCGAACATTGATTTTCTTCACTGCCCTACAAGTTCGATAGTACTTGCTTAATGTATAACCTAAATTTCGGGCAAGCTACGCTGCAATTAAGCGAAAAGATTGGTTCATGTAGGACGAAATTCCTTTAACTTTAAATACATTTTCCTTTAATTTTAAGACTGTGTTTAGAATATGTTCTTTTTAGTTTTACATGAATCTTCTTGAGATTATATATAAGAGCAAAAATCTCTGCAGGATTCAAAGGCTTCCACTGAGAATAAAAATATATTTTTTTAAATAATATATATATTTATATATATATATATATATATATATATATATATATATATATATATATATATATTTATATATATATATTTTTTTTTAAATAATATATATATATATATATATATATATATATATAATATGATATCGTACATGTTTTTCTCCATGCGGATAAATTTAACCGCGACATTCTATTGTATAAGGAACTTTCACAGAATTCGTTACATCTCCAAATACAAACCAGATTGTCAACACGCAAAAACACTAAAGATCGTTAGTCTATCTTCGAGCAGTCACCAAAGCGACACATGACGATTACAGCACTTATACTTAATCAAATATAATATCCAAATTAATATTACTAGAAATTGTTTCCATACGTCAATTGCATAGACATCTGAACGTAATGTCAACGGAAAGATTACGTGAAGTGCAATCAATATTTGAAAATTATAACAACTTTTTCCACCCGAATCTTTGTCACGTTTGCAAGTCGAAAGATCAGCTGAAATTGTGTTTTTGCTATATGATATCTTACTGCTGCGAGACGCATAGAGTACAACATGAATCGCAACACAAGGAGATCTGCAAGATTATAATCAGTGTGAGTAAGCAGAAAAACATATGGAACACTCGTTTCATGTCTGTGGAGGGATGGGCCCAATTTAAGATGGCGAATATGCAATGTATAAAACAAATGCTACTTCGTAATATGGAGCAGTACGAAGAGCAAATGTTCTTATTTGCAAAATCGTGTATTGTTTGCCGCAAACAGGATGACCTGATCGTCGCTTGTGATAAATGCATATCTGTCAATGTGTGCGATGATCACAGTTCAACTCCTTTTCAGCACACTTGCATAATACTAGGGCATAGTTTGAACCTGGAATTCTACGATATGCGATACAGGAAGGAAGACAGAAGTACAATTCCGGAAGACTTTCTGTATATAAACAAACAAAATGTCCATGATATGCCGTCATTTATTCAAGAGTACATACTACATCATAGATGTTCAAATTCTTGGGTTATGTGTGATTATATCTATACTGATGTCTTCTCGTCACCGCTGACGCTGTTATTCGGGATACAGGATACAGAATTATCATATATTCTGCCATTACGTGGTTTCTTCATTATTCATATCATAACTGGACACGTCATGGATACATTTAGTTTATCAGCTTGGGAAATCGTTTTACATGAACTTTGTCCAAACACAAAGCTACAAATCTTAATGATAGGGCCTGAGTTACAAGAGAATTATTATCGCGTGCAGCTTTGTGATATTTGCATCGATAACAATAAAAACTTTCGATACGAATGTCATTGTATGTTGTATCACAATTTTACAAGCACTTTGCATATGCGACCAGACGTTATTTTAGGATTTGACGTAGAACTTAAGAAGGATAAGACATCGGCGCAAACTATAAAGGCAATACAACGTCAACGCTGCCCGTTAATTCTAACGTCTATAACGAAATGCAAAGCGCAAGAGAACATAACAGAGATACAAAATATACTGAAATTACCTCTAACGCCTACTGTTATTAAAAAAAATGCATTCGCATCTTGTAGACCACATAGAAACTATGAGGATTATTCTGTGTTTTTTCCTAATGAATATTTAATTATCTATTCGGATTTAATTAATCCAAGCAGAAACGAAAATAACCCTTAAAAATAATATTGAATTGCAATATTCGATATACAATATAGGACGGATTCTCCTTACAAATGACAATTTTACGATATTTGCGCTGATTATTTTTCTTTTCACAAGTGTTTCTAGTAAAACATATTTTTGAAGAAAGCATTAAAGTGGCAGTTGTATTCCTTTCCTCTGCGTATCAGATTCTGTATAACGTTCATACACGTTGTATAACACACATTATGCATTTTGTGTAATGACTATATACTAAATACATAATATTTGTATCATATTATTTCAAGACTGATTACTTTCGATATATATATTACGTATCATAATACATAATATATGCCATACATATTTTTGTGCACTCAAATTTAAAATACATATGTGTGCTCGGTATTCACGTAGTTCGGTAATAACTATGGTTATACGTATTTAATTTTTATTTAATTTATAGTAAAATTATATTTGAAATACCGATGCTACATTCGATAGTAATTCAATTAATTGCTTCAAGGAATCACTTCTCATTATAACATAGTTGCGCCAGGAAAATTTATCTGTAGGTGATGTTATTGTAAATGATACGTTTTACAAAAAAATATTCATTCATATTCATGAACGTTTTACAAATATATATTTATGAAATATTCATGAGTAAATTATAAATTTATTTAATAAAACATATAATGATGAAAATTATATCATTTTTCCTGAAATTGTACACCAATATTGTGCATGTGATAATTGTATGATTCTAATTTTTTCATTGAACACAAAAGAACAGTATTTGGTTTTCTTCTTTCTTTTTAATCATATTCCTCTAAAACTCAGATTACTTATGTGTTAATTAGTACAACGCAATTTACAAGTTTACAAGTTTTTCAGAAAATGATTTTTTCTGCTTATCTTCTTTAAAAATAATATTTTTAGTATTCTAATATATGAGTATCTGCTAGCCAGAATGTACATGTTACTTAAACTATTATCGTCGAATTTAAGTTTATTCGCGTTATGCTAATCTTTAGATTCTTTGGGATTCTTTGGGATTCTTTGAAATAAAATACAAAGTAAAAAGTGACAATCGAATCTCTTAATATATCGAAAGTAATTTTATTCTTGAATACTATTAAATTCTCTATTTCGGATTGTAGAGTAAATATATTTTCAGTCAAAATTGAAAAACAAATCTGATATTATATTATATTCATTGAAACAAGTTCACTTTAACAAATTTATTAAAAACAAATCTGATATTATATTATATTCATTGAAACAAGTTCACTTTAACAAATTTATTAAAAACAAATCTGATATTATATTATATTCATTGAAACAAGTTCACTTTAACAAATTTATTAAAAACAAATCTGATATTATATTATATTCATTGAAACAAGTTCACTTTAACCGATCGAAACATTTAGCTACATGGCGTCGGAAATAATTTTAAGAGTGTTTAAGTAAACCATTATCGGATTTACTATTTTAAGTGACAATATTTTCACTATAGCTTTAAGTGAATTTTTGGTTTTCAGTCCAAGAAATTTAGAGAATACTTGATAGCAAATATCAATATTTCTATTTTTCCAATTGCTATGGACTATCCTCGATGATAGTATATTAATATCACTAGCATGTCTCTAGATTTCCTCACAAATATAAATAAAACGGTATTTCTTGAGATATGCAGAAATATTTGCGAATATCTTACCAATATCTTCCAAATAACTGCTAAATTATATGTATGTATACACACACGAAATTGGTATATATGCACGAAGTTATTTACTTCTAGACATTATTACTGGCTAAATTCCATCTCTCTCCCTCGCCGCGCTCCCGCTTAAAGGGATGCCGGACATGAAAACTTTATCGGCATAACATTGACTTTTTTTTGGCAAAGTTTACGTCTTGTCGCTTGCACAGAATTACAAATGTTTTTATACAACAAAAGTGCATGCAAAAATAAATTGGAGCATTGCTTAATATGTAACGAAAACGATAAAAATATAAATTTAAATTTTAAGTTTAAATTTTGTTGTCAGTTAGTGCAATATTTGTTTAATACAAACATTCTGTAGGTTGTACATACCGAAATTGTCGATGCTTCAATCAGGAAAATTTCAAAGATCACTACTACATTTTCAGAATTTAGTTTCGATGCCAAAAAAGATATGAAAAGCTTGCAGAACAGTTTATGATTACATGTGGTTAGATTTTCCGACAACTATGATAAAGTAGAGCGAAAAATTAGTTCACGGATATTTTTCAGATGACACCGTACTTTTTATCGCATTTTTCACAATGTTCGAATATTCAGAATATATATACAGGGTGGCCCACGTAAAGTGTTACAAGCTAATAACTCTAAACATATTTGTCCTATTAAAAAGTTGTTCATGAGAAAGTTTCATATATTCGAGGGGTCTTTCTAACTTTGTAAACAAAAATCCACTTCCGTTCCCCCTTGAAGAAAGGCAGAGGGTAACTTCAAAATTTCAAATGAGACCTTCTATACTGTTACATATCCTATAATGTTACATATTTTGATTCTACGGGAAAAAACAAGTAAACTTTGTCTGAAAAATTTTTTTTGGAAAATGCTCCTAAAAAGTTATAAATATTTAAACTTTTAGCCATTTCATTTATGATGAACTTCATTGACACAAAGTTGTGTTCGCGATACAACGAAAACGACTTTAGAGCAATGTGTACTCTTTTAAATAAGATATTTGGTGACAGGTGGGTAAATCGGGGAGGTCCTGTTCAATGGTTCCCTCGTTTATCTGATCTTACTTACTTACTTTTGAACTATTTTTTATGGGGATATATCAAAGAGGAAGTCATCTCAACCACTTACGACGAAAGAAGAATAAAACGAAGAATACATACAGCTTGCACTAAAGTGATCCCAGAAATGTTGTTTAGAGTTAGGCAAAGTTTTGTAAAAAGAATTAATAAGTGTTTAGATGTTAATGGTCAATAGTTCGAACATTTAATAAAATAAAACAAAACAGAAAAACTATGAGTCTTATTTAATTTATCATTAATTTCAATGCACTCTACATTAAAGTTTAAATGTTTATAACTTTTGATAGGAGCATTTTCTAAAGAAATGTTTCAGACAAAGTTTACTTGTTTTTTCCCGTAGAATCCAAATATATAACATTATATAAGGGGTCCCATTTGAAACTTTGAAATTACTCCCTGCTCCTCTTCAAAGGGGGACGGAAGTGGATTTTTGTTTACGTAGTTAGAAATGCCCCTTGAATATGTGAAACTTTCTCATGAACAACTTTTTGATAGGACAAATATGTTTAGAGTTATTAGCTTACGTAATACTTTACGTGGACCAACCTGTATCATAGTTACCATAGTTACGAGATACAGCATAGCTATAGGTGGAGGAACGCAGCGAGCAGCGATTCGCGTGTATCACGGTCGCGCGCCGACCCGAGCGCGTTTATTTGCTCAGACAAAATAATTAATTACTTAAAAACTATTGCGAATTTCGCAAAATGGTATTTGACTTTTCTATTCCGTTTAATCCGTTCTACTTTCCTACGATTTGTGTCAAGAAAGGTTTCGGACACCCTGTATATACAGGGTGTCTCACACTCTCCTCCGGGCATTTTGTGGGAACGTAGAACAAGTTGAGATGAACATAAAAGTCCTATACCGTTTTGCGATATTCGCAATAATTATTGAGATATTAATTATATAGGAAACTTGTACATGATCATGCAGAATACGGTAAATGAGTTAGGGTGTATATCAGTTGGACACGGGACAATTGGACACAGTCCAATCACAAGTCGTAGTCATATGGACGAAAACGTCTCTGTGTGAGAAGTGGAAGGAACAAAACGCCACTGCGCCCGGGAAAGATTTCCCAGCTCTGCCACAGTGACCTATTGTAGCACTGGCGCCACTAGCGCAGTATCCGTGAACTATTATGGATGTCTAAACTGCTCTGTTTTATCTACATTTTAGCAAAAAGTAATAGCAATTTTCCAGAAGAAACTGATTTTCTAAAACTTTTAAGCATATTTTTGAAGATTGTACGTTATTCCTTAGAATATTTTGTAGTAGGAAGATATTTCCTTTTTTTCATATGCATCATAGAAATTTATTATAACCTACGAATTATGCTAACAAACACCTAACTTAAAAATTTTTTTTCGTTTTCAATGGAAATATTATATCTGCCGGGTGTGTTTTAGAGAGTATTTTAAGTGTGTAAAAGCGCTTTTCGATCAGTTCAGTTTGGACGATGTAAAACACAAAACAGGTTTGTAGACACTCCGACATCCCTTAAGGCTTAGAACACAATACGCCGTACGTCGGAGTTGGATGTCGGCAGGCAGTTGATGGTCTAATGAGAGAATTTATTTTTTGAGAATGAGTTCTTCTCATTGGATTATTGGTTGCGTTCCGACATGCGACAGCGAAATACGATGTATTGCGTTCTAGGCCTAAGACCTATTTCACCTAAGTAAGAAACTCTTGTATATGTAATATATATCGATACGACAGTATCAGAGGATACTGAATATTATTTACAGTTGCTTTTGGTTGTCGCAAGATTTGTTTACAATGTGAGGTATAAATGAAGACGTAACGGCCTTAGCAATTCTTCAGTTATACCTCACATTGTAAACAAATTTTGCGATAACCAGAAGCAACTGTAAAGAATATTCAATATCCTCTGATCAACCGTCATATCGATATATATATTACATATACAAGTGTTTCTTACTTGGGTGAAATCGTGAAGACTTGAGCATTATTTCTAAATACATGCTATCAATAAATTAATATTCAAATAGAAATTAATATGGAAATAAATAGACACGAGCTGATAGTACTACAATCTTTTACTGGAATAAATGATCTTGAAAAATGTAACAACTTTTTTCATCCTAACGTGTGTCATGTGTGCAAGACATCAAAGCAAAGTGAACTGCAAACGTGTACCGACTGCTACATGATTTCGTATTGTAGTGATAATCACAAAATGTTTCACCAACAGCAACACATCGATATATGCCAAGCAGTAACAAAAGTAAATAAAAATTACAATATAAGGGAAAGTGATGGCATGACGTTAGATGAATGGATTTTATTTAAGAGGAATAATGTGATAAAAATTCAACAGGAGCTCGGTCGTAATTTGCTATTGTACGAAGAGCAGATGTTCTTGTTCGCAAAATCATGTTTCATGTGCTATAAACAGACTAATTTGGTAAACACTTGTGTTTCGTGTTGTAGCGTTGATAGTTGTGCTGATCATAATTTACTTAACTTTACACACGATTGTAAGAATCTGCATATCTCTCTTGCTCTCGATATCGAGTATCTCATGAAAGCAGAAGATGTGGAAAAAATAAGGTTTGATACCTCATTAAAGATAGATGATATATGCGATAACACAATGTTATTTGTTGAGCGCTTTGCAAAAGACAGGGAACATACTTATTGGTCGTTTTACGATTTCTACTATTCTGATTGGGCATCAGCAGCATTGACACTATGTTGCGTTATGGTAGATCCAAAGTATTGTTATCTTCTGCAGAAAAAAGGTACCTTCGTTATTCATATTATAGCCGGAACTTTGATGAATGTGAACAATTTGTTAGCATGGGAAATCTTTCTACACCTGCTACCCAGAGAAACAATACTAAAAATTACAATGATAGAACCAAATTTAGAAAATCGATACAGGCTGATATCGGATACTTGTACCTTGTGCCATTCTTCTGACAAGATTTTGTATGCAGAATATCACAATTTGTCATATGAGGATTATGTGATTAATTGGGAATACGATAAACCGAATGTTATTATAGGATATAATATAGAACTTAATAAATTAGAAATACAAAATATACACAAATTGAATTCTCAGATGTGTCCGTTGGTTTTAACGGTTACAACAGACAATGAAACTTCTAAAATTATACAGAAATTAGAGGAAATGCCGTGCGTAGCCCAACCATTTATGTTTGTTACCAAAAATAAATATCGATCTTTAAGACCATACAAGTCTTATGCAACCAATACATCATTTTTTCATAATGAAAATTTAATTATATACGAGAGTTTAAATCCTAAATAGCGTATTGTACAATTACCACTCCGATCTCTAGCTTATTTGCGATATATAATAAATTTTTCTTTTACAAATTAACTATATAATATTATATTAATTAATAATATTTTTAATAAAGCATATTAAAAAAACATTAGAGTAGTTATATGGTCATATTATTTTTATAGTTATATTGTTTTCCTCTCTGAAAAGATATCTTTATTGTCGCACGTACGTTAGTACGTAAATTAATTTTCTATTTGAAAATTAACAATTATAATATTTTTGAAAATCTAAAAGAGCAGTCATGAAATCCTTGGTTCACTAATATACATTGTGTCGATATTGGTTGTATGTCTAATATTGTTGCATAATTTCAATGTTTGATCTATCCGTGGCATTGAAGTGCTTGCAACGCTGAACGTATCTCACCCTGTAGAACACAGAGTCGATTATTCTAACCTCTTGGTAAGCTATCTGAAAGTTAAATCATTACCGCGTCCTGTCTTTGTCCAATTTGAAGATAAAAAGGGCGATTTACTTTAGAGATGGTCTTAGTTTTTGGTCTTAGCTATCTGAAAGTTAAATCATACGTCTGTCTTTGTCCAATTTGAAGAAAAACCGAAGACAGACATATGATTTAATAAATAGCGTACCGAAAGATTGGAACAATCGGCCCACAGTAAGATAAAAAGGGCGATTTACTTTAGAGATGATCTTAGTTTTTAGTCTTAGCTACCTGAAAGTTAAATCATACATCTGTCTTTGTCCACTTTGAAGAAAAAACGAAGATAAACATATGATTTAATAAATAGCTTACCGAAAGATTGGAACAATCGGCCCACATGAAGATAAAAAGGGCGATTTACTTTAGAGATGGTCTTAGTTTTTGGTCTTAGCTATCTGAAAGTTAAATCATACGTCTGTCTTTGTCCAATTTGAAGAAAAACCGAAGACAGACATATGATTTAATAAATAGCGTACCGAAAGATTGGAACAATCGGCCCACAGTAAGATAAAAAGGGCGATTTACTTTAGAGATGATCTTAGTTTTTAGTCTTAGCTACCTGAAAGTTAAATCATACATCTGTCTTTGTCCACTTTGAAGAAAAAACGAAGATAAACATATGATTTAATAAATAGCTTACCGAAAGATTGGAACAATCGGCCCACAGTAAGATAAAAAGGGCGATTTACTTTAGAGATGGTCTTAGTTTTTGGTCTTAGCTATCTGAAAGTTAAATCATACGTCTGTCTTTGTCCAATTTGAAGAAAAAACGAAGATAAACATATGATTTAATAAATAGCTTACCGAAAGATTGGAACAATCGGCCCACAGTAAGATAAAAAGGGCGATTTACTTTAGAGATGGTCTTAGTTTTTGGTCTTAGCTATCTGAAAGTTAAATCATACGTCTGTCTTTGTCCAATTTGAAGAAAAAACGAAGACACCCGATAAAAAATTTTTCATGCAAAATTATGTATGAAATTTGTCCATACATAATTATGTATAATTATACATAATCATATAAAATTATTATGTTTATATTAACAATATGTATAATTACATATAAATCTATGCGTAATTATGTAAAATTATATATGAATTTACATATATAATTATACATAATTATATATAATTATATATATAAGTAGAATGTATAAACATGAATGGATAAATTTGATATATAATAATATATAATTATGTATAATTATATATAATTTTATATAATTTTATATAATTATATATGAAAAATTTTTCATTGGGCAGACATATGATTTAATAAATAGCTTACCGAAAGATTGGAACAGTCGGCCCACAGTAAGATAAAAAGGGCGATTTACTTTAGAGATGGTTTTAATTTTAGGACAAATTCACGTCTTGGTAGAAAAATTGAAAAAATAAAGGCAATTAGAACTCATACTAGCAGAAAAGCATAGGCCGGTATTCATAGTTGAATCTTATATTTAAGACCGTCTTAAGTTCATTTTCAGATGCTGCACGAATTATTTCGTTGGCTACAGTATCTGTAGATGGAGCTTAAAATGTTCTTAAATGTAATGGCTCCTGCACACAGGACGCGGTAATGTTTGCCGCGCGGCGGAAGCCAATCAATATGCTGCTTTCCGTAATAACCTTACGGAATACCTTAAATGGCCGGGACGTCATGGGAAAAAAATCTATTCAGTCTTTTGATAATTGAGAGAACATCCATGTCATATCTAAAGTTATATTTTAATTTCGTTAATCTCTCTCTCTCTCTCTCTCTCTCTCTATCTATCTATCTCCCCTCCTTTCTCTCTCTCCCTCCTTCTTAATAACCTTCTAGCTCTTACGGAAAAATAACATATTGATTGGCTGCCGCCGCGCGGCAAGCTTTACCGCGTCCTGTGTGCAGGAGCCATAAGACTCGACTATGAATACCGGCTGTAAACCGTCGACTACTATCTGACCACCAGCGCGAGTTCTGATTGGCTCCTGCCTTTCTGTCCTCAACTTTTCATCCAAGGTGTGAATTCGTCCTTATAGACTGGTTTGGTTTCTGCTAGTGAACTCTTGCATCTCATTGGTATATTCTTTTGGATTAAAAAAAATACACCAATCAGATGCAAGAACTCAATGAGCGCTCAGTGAACAGTTGTAGTACTGAATGCACACAATGAATGGGTGCGTTCACAACAGTTGCACAACAGTTGAGTAATTAATCTAAATTTATCGAGATCTGACAGTAAAGAACAATAATCACTGACTGCTCACTTATCGCTTTGTTTCGCTGGACGCAGCTAATGGCTGTGATTGATTCTGCTACTTTGAGGGACCTGCGAATTGAACTAATGAAGAACGTATTATGGAATTTTTCAGAATTGGGATATTTTTTTTCCTTAGAAAAAACAATAGAAATCTATAGAATAATGGAAATATTCCGATCAAAATCGATTCCGAAGGATTCCCTAACACTCAGATCCGAAGAATTGGCTGCATTCTCTGTTTGATTGAAGCATTCCTTTAGATTCTTCGTGGACACAGGAATATTTACCAATCAGGAGCGAAATCATCAAGCGCTCCCTGAACTGCTCTTTCCACTGAGTGTAGCCATTGGGCGCATTCAGCAGAAAAAGCGCTCAGTGAGCAATCAACAATTATTGGTTCTTGCTATTAGATCCCTAAATCTAGACCAATTACATTGACAAATTACTCAACTGTTGTGCAACTGTTGAGTCTGCTGAATGCAGCCATTGATTGCGTTCAGCAAAAAAAGCTGCCTTGCAACTGTTGTAAAATTCGTGAATCTGATTGGTACATGTTCTTTAACCAAAATTAAGAGCATATTCCAATCAGATTCATGAATTTTACAACAATTGCAAAGCAGCTTTCTCTGCTGAACGCAGCCAATGTTATACACTACCTTTTAGGGACATTAGTTTCTGTTAGATTAACGCCTATTCTAATTTGTTATAAAGGCTGCGTTCCAAAGTTCACAGCTAGTGCTAAAATTCTATGTGTACGTCACATAGAATTCTATGTGCACGTCATAGAACGTCTATGTGACTCACATAGAACTATAGATTTTCAGTACTGGCAGTGAATTTCGGAACGCAGCAATAATTCAATAGATATACTAGTCTTTTATATAAAAAGTAAACGGTGTTTAAAGTTTTACTAAGTAATTTGTCCGTATTGATATATAGGCAATCGATACTTTTATAGTTCCATAGATACATTCTATAGTTCTTATTTGCCAAATTAATTTTAATTTTTCTGATTAAAAATCGACTAAAGAATCGACTTTTATTCAAGAATTACTTATTCTTAGTAAACAAGTTCGGTCTACTTGGGCGTCCACGTCCATATATTGAAGATCAGACATTGGAAAAGTTTTGGTCTAACTGCCGCTAGTTAAGGACGTGTTTGGTCCTACCTGCGATCGGAGGTACCTGTGATTTTTGGGATACACTTTAGTTTTATTTTCAGAGGTTTCAAAGCTTTATTTTCTATTTATCATGGAGAGAAAGTAATGTTCCGGCATTAGTTCTATCAAGCGCTTGGAAATATATATTGAGAGAGGAAGGGAGAGAGGCAGATTCTTAGTAAACACGTTTTCAGTTACATTTCAGAATGCCATTTGTGAACATCTTATTTGTATCCTCCGAGCAAATTGCCACGTCGTACGAATATATATAATATAGTCTCGTAGTTTTTGTGCTTGATGCAGTGTAATTCAATTGTTAAGAGACATCTGGAATATTGCTCGAACGTTCTTAACCATTTATTGAAGGAAGAAAGGTATGTATTTATATATACACATTATACGTGGCGTGTGTGTGTGCGCGCGCGCGCGTGCGTGTATGTATGTGTGTATAACTGAAACTTATTCGCGAAAGTACCTATTTTCACACTATCCTATACCAAGTATCGGTAATATAACATCGATATTATGTCCTACAAACTGCTACATTAAGTGTTATGTACTTGGTTATGATACTTAGTGTTTATTGGATATATACAAGATGTCTGATGCAAGACACAGTACTATGTGCGAGAGTAGAGTACGTGAACACGAAAACCTCTGGTGTCTTGCGTCAGACACTCTGTATATGTATAATTGAATGATAGATGTATAGATAATTAAATGTCACGTGTAGAGCATTTATAAATATCAGTAATGCATGTGTATTATAATAGGAATTTTTTATATATCTGTTTGATATCTATTTAAAGTCACGTGATAAATCATTAACTTATTCCATAGCCGACCAATTTTTCGTCCACGTCCACGTCGCGTGAATGAGTGAGTGAATCATCAGTGACTCACAATGTCATATTATGAGAAACACTTTATTTGTTAAATAACATGTGCCTTATAATAATTTTAAGAATTCAACAACACACACACACTATGTTTTATTTTAATAATTATATTTTATTTTTAGAAACAAAAATATCAAAATTAAGTATCTGAATTAAGGGTGTGTGATTTCAATTCTTGAGAAAATTAACTTTTTTACGGAAATCGATGTTCTTTTATTCGATCTTTTTTTATACGATTCTGACTCAATTCTGAATTGATTATTTCAAGAAAGAATAGATTTTTATTATATGCCCATATTCATAGATTTTGTTATATTTAATGCATAAGTCATATTGCATCCGATATCTGAATTTATCAAGTTAAGTTTATTTAATATAGAAAATATCCAGTCAATAGTTGTTTTACGTTTGTACACTCGACGTCATAAATGTCCAAATATTTACCAGATCGACAGTTACTTAACATTTTCGATACATTTACGGATTCTATACATTACTATTGCTAACTCGAATGAAATATATGACCTCGAAAAATATGTACTAAGGGTCAATTGTTTCAACCTCTTGGTAAGCTACCTGATAATTAAATAATAAAATCGATTATTTTTTCGATATTGCATCTCTAGTGGCGGCCAATTGCTTTCTTTTTCTAATATTCTTATTGACTGTCTTTGTTATCGCTCAATATTAGGATCGTATTGCTAAACAGTGAACCCTGTGCATGCCTTGGACGTGTTAAATGATATAAAATGTAACCATCGATATATAGGACGGTATTCATAGTCGGATCTTATATTTAAGACTGTCTTAAGTTCATCTTTAGCTAGTCTACGGATGATTTCATTGGCTACAAAGCATCTGAAGATAAACTTAAGACGGTCTTAAATATAAGATCTGACTATGAATACTGGTCATATTAATGCCAACGACGTTTATAACAATATATCTTCAACTGACATCAAATACAACAGATGAATCGATTACGAAACAGGCGAGAAATATTAATTTACGCGGATTAAATTTCTGAAACTATCGAACTATCACAGCTGCTTTAGAAGTTAATTTCCGATTCCTAGGATAATGAATAATCAGAATAAATGTAGAAACAAATACTTAGCAGCACATATTAAGCTGCGTTCGGAAACACACACTGTATGCACACTACTAGACGATAGCCGTTGGAGTGAGCGAAATACAAGAATGAGATAAAAAGAGAGAGAGAGTACTCGTGACGTTCCCGAATGCAGCCTTAGTTGGCCGACGCACAGTGGCGAATAGAAATTTACTGTTCAAAAATCGCTAGAGACCACAATTTTATAGCAATCGTGATGACTTTTTTTTTAATTAAACGTTAATCAATGTAGAAAAAAACTTTTAAACCCTATTTAAAAAAAAAATAAATGATGCAATATTAATAAGAATTAAGTTCATATTCAGCAACCTAAACCTAATATACTTTACAGTGACACATTTCGTGCTACAGAAACATTTTTTCATATTGGCTATATGATTGACAGACAGCTGTAAATATTAGATATTTACTGACTAGATCTAATACTGACTTTACATTTATGTTGAACGTAATTTATATATCCTACTGCAACTATATACTGTGTTAAAACATAATGATTTTGTTTATGTTGACAGGAGATTAGCAGTTGTCAACTGCCAAATTCTGATTTTTATATCAGATTCGTAATCAGTGATGCTGAAAACCTTAGTACACTGTACTGTGCAGCGAAAAGATGGAAAGTTTTCCAGTTGGAGTGGCTCACAAAACTTGATAATTTTTTACAAATTCTTATTAATATTGAAACATTTAGAAGAAAGATTTTAAAAAAAATTTGGCTCCACAGTTTCTTTCTACGTTGATTTAATTAAAAAAAAATTCATCCCGATTGCTATAAAATTGTGGTCTTTAACGATTTTTGAACAGTAAATTTTTATTTGTTCCCACTGTACGACGGTTAGCCGCTGTAGATTATACATTGGCCGCTGTAGATTTATACTGCAATTCTAGACAAAATCGTAAAGCTCGTAACTTGTTCTCGTAAGACTCATAAGAACTTATGAATAGACAATTGATATATAAGCTACGACTTTACGATTTTACGATTTACTCATATATTTGCTTAGAATTGCAGCATTAACATTGGCCCAACGCTGCTCGGGATGAGTCTGATTGAAAATGCCTAATAATTCTCAATGATAATAAATGTTTGGGCATTAATGACAACGAGTGTATAATACAAAAGATTGTAAAAGCCGATAATGGTAAATTTGGCTGTAAACAAAAATAATTAGGATATCTATTGAGAAACTAGGTTTTCAGCTGATGGAAATCCTAGCTGCTCTTTCGGCTCAAAAGTGAAGAGTCCTATGACAAAATATAATATAATTAATATAATTCGATGTATTAGATATATGGAACTTATATAAAAGAAAGATTAAAATTGTGCAATTCTTTTGTATTGATATTTAACAAATCGATTCTAGTTATTTCAATTCAGAATCGATTCCAAAGAATCAATTTTCACTAAAGAATTGTTCGTCTCTGGTTCGAATAGAAGGTTCACACACACACACATACACACCGTAAACATCGATAAGGTAATACTAAAGATCATTAACCTTATGGAAGTGTTTAGTGTGATAGAATATTTTCATTGTTTAATAACCTCCTGTCGGTAAATTTTATATCAAATCAATATAGATATAGAAATGCAATTTTACAAAAATACCTAATATATTTCATTGTAGATCTATATCGCATTAAAATAATGCTAAAACATTGTACTAGTTATAAATTATAAAAAATTTACATTTATAAACATTTATATTTATAAAAAATTATTTTATTATATACTGTATATTTTACTATATACTGAATGCCTCTCTCGAAGTATCTATATCAGATGACTAAAAATGGTTAATAATATCATCTTTTTCCACTTATCTTTAAGCCTCTTAAGGCTCTTGAGGCCCTTTGAGTTATGAAATTTTCCTAAAGTCAAAGATCATTAGTATTATCTCGTCGCTGGCAATATAGTAAGAGCATATAACATATATTAGATATAATAAAGTTGATTTATTTGTGTTTAATGTTTAAAACTTATTTAAATCTTAGTCTGTCCCTCTCTCTCTGTCGTAATATCTTTTATATCAAATATTGTTTTTTATTAATTAATTAATTAATTATACAGGATGCCGTTAAAATCCGGACAAAATTTAATTTGAAATTCCTGCTATATTAGAATTCAGGGGTAGGCGTTGGTTAACGCTAAGATAGGCTAGATACGTAGATAAGAATTGATTGTTCTAACTTCTTGGTAAGCTACCTGACAGTTAACTCATATATCTGTCTTCGTTTTCTCCTCAAATTAGGCAAAGACAGAGACATGATTTATATGTTAGGTAGTTTAGTTAATAGTTCCCTAATCTAAACCCTCTCAACTACTACATATAAAACGTAGTCGAGAAACAAACCACCCTGGTAAAAAAAAGTTGATAGAGAACGATTGAGAACGATAGAATTTCTATCAATTTGTATTGTTTTCTATAAGTTCTCTATCGTTCGCAAGCGTCAGCATTCGCGAGCATCAGATATAAATCCTATCGTATTTTATCTGGTTCTATAATAATCGGGTTTTATTTGTATTATATAGGAAACTGAACGATAGAAATTCTATCACTATCCAAAATCTATATTCAAAACGACAGAACGATAGGATTTTATTCTATCGTTCTCTATAAACTTTTTTACCAAGGCAACAAGTCCAGGCATCTCAACGTCGCCATCCTTCAAGGACACCATCGAGGCAACGTTTGCGGCTATAGATCGCAACCATTTTAAAACGGCATACTTGCGCTTTAATAAAAAATCGAGGAGGTTATAGAGAGGGGTATAAAGGCGTAGAGCGTTTATATTGGATAAAAGATTTCAAGAAGGATTCCTTAAGTGGAATTTCTTTGCATCTTTAATATTTATTGTAATAAACGACTTTTTCCATAAAACATTGTTTTGTCCAGATTATAACGGCGCATCCATATATATATATTGCAATTAAAGACATATATTTTTATTAATAAGTATATGCTAAAATATGCAACGAAAAAGTTGAAAAAAATCAAATATTGAGACTTACAAACTTGACGCATCCTAGTCACATTAGAATATTTACAAGCTATTAAATACATTGGTTCCCTTTTCTTTCTATGCTATAAATTTTTAAAATTTTCATATATATATATATATATATCTTACTATATATATATATATATATATATATATATATATATATATATATATACAGAGTGCAATTCCATTTAAAAAAACTCTCATCCCTTCAGCCAAGTATATTCAGTAAAAATGTTTCAGACAAAAGTTGTCGGATTCAAAGGGGGACATCTGAAGGTGACCTTAATTTTGACCTTGGAGATTATTCTGAGGGTTATTGGAAAGTTAACTTTGCTTTTTAAATAGAAACGTTTATTTTCTCTTACGGAATTTTATTCTACGTAAAGAAACTAATAACTTTTGTTTGAAAAAAATTTTTATTCAACCTCTATTTTCTAAGGTATTTACGGAAATATCTACAAAATTATTGGATTTAATAACTTTTTATTCGAATTCTATCAACTTTAGCGAAAAATAGCAAGAGATAAAAATTATTTATTTTCTTCTCATAGAGCTCTGAGAATTTTTTCAGTTAACTTCTTAGTACTGCATTTTCTTGCATTTTCTTGAAGTACTAAAAAGTTTATAAAAAATTCTGAAAAAAATTCTCGGAGCCCTATGAGAAGAAAATAAACAATTTTTATCTCTCACCATTTTTCGGTAAAGTTCATAGAATTCGAGTAAAAAATTATTGAAACCAATAATTTTGTAGATATTTCCATAAATATATTAGAAAATAGAGATCGTATAAAAAATTTTTTCAAACAAAAGTTGTTATTTTCTTTACGTAGAATATAATTCCGTAAGAAAAATAAATAAATGTTTCTATTTAAAAAGCAAAGTTAACTTTCGAATAACCTTCAGAATGACCTCCAAAGTCAAAGTCAAGGTCACCTTCAGATGTTCCCCTCTGAACCCGACAACTTTCGTCTGAAACATTTTTGCTGAATACTTGACTGAAGAATTATGAGGGTGGATCTTTTAAAATGGGACACCCTATATATATATATATATATATATATATATATATATATATATATATAATTCACTATATTATTTTAACATTCACTTTTCACTTCTAGTTCTTTTTACATCTTTTTACATCAAGATTCTTTTTCTTATTGATTTCTTTTATGTTTGCAGGTTAACAAACGTGTGAAATAATTGAAAAGACATATTCTATTCTAAGAATATATAAAACTGTAAACATCTCACCGTTTGTAGCGTCCAATCGCGATAATTTAATTTCTGGAAAACTTTCACGTGTCGATACATCTCTAATTATATCAGTGTGTCAACATTTCCTGCGAAACCTAAAAGCAATCGCAAAAAGTATTCAGAGTTCTTCGACCAGCCGTCGAATCGACATATATACCACGTATACTGCAATCAAGAGGTGCGGAATTTCGTATATTATCTTCAAATTTGTTTAATAAATAAAGCAGTATTCAAATGGATATGAATAAAAGTTCCACGAACCAGTCCAAAGAACAGGTGTTGCCAATCGATGGAATGAATGGACTTCAAAATTATAATAACTTTTTCCATCCAAACCTTTGCCATGTTTGTAAGACATCAGTGCAAGTGAACTTGAAACCATGCTCTGGTTGCCACATGATCTCGTACTGCTGCGAAGAACACAGACTGCTGCATGAGTCACAGCACAAAGAGATATGCATAGCCATAGGAGAAATGAATAAGACCAAGCAGGACACTCGTGGCAAGGTGTGCGGCGAGTGGCTAATTTTACGGAAGAATAATGTGTTAAGAATCTCGCAAATATTACATCGTGATTTGCAGCCATATGAGGAACAGATGTTCATGTTCCCAAAATCGTGTCTTACTTGTCATCAACAAAATAACTTGGTGATCGTATGCGACATGTGCTTCAGTGTCAACAGTTGCATTGATCACAATCTACATTGTGTTAAGCACGACTGTACAAGTCTGAGGTCAATTCTTCTACTGGATATTAGCTATATCCAAAGAGAGAAAGATATAAAAAGTTTCTCGTTCCATCATCGTATCAATCCAACCTGCTTTCCATATGACATTGCGTCATTTCTTCTCAAGTATACCATAAAGGACAAATACCAAAGCCCTTGGTTTTTTTTCGATTACTTTTATTCTGATTGGGCATCTCAACCGTTAACAATATGTCAGGTTGTGTTAAATCCTGCGTACCAACGCTTTCTATACAAAACAGAAAATTTTATTGTTCACATTATAACTGTAAACCAAATGGATATATACTGTTGGTCAGCTTGGGAAATATTATTACATCTACTGTATCCAGGAATTACATTGAAAATTATAGTTATAGATGCAAATTCATTAACTTTCGATATAAAAAACTTCCAAATATGTGACCATTGTCAATACTTACGAAAAAATATGTCAATTCATTATTACGGTGTGTCGTACGAAGATTATGTGCAAAGCACGTCGAATGAAGAACCAGATATAATTATAGGATTTCATATAGACCTTCAGGGATTTAGCCAGCGATCGATACGAGCATTACACAAACAAAAGTGCCCATTAATTCTAACAGCTACATTAGAAAGTAAGTTGAAATGCAACGTAAACAGGTTAAAGGACGTTCTGGGCATATCTGAAATAAAACATGTTAAATCCAAAAACAAATTTCAATCTATACGACCATATAGGGATTATGATAACGATAATATATATTACTGTAATGAGTATCTAGTTATATGTGAAAGTTTAGGCTCTTTAAACGTTTCAGCTCCTCAGCAATAGCTCTTTTTTATAATTGTATCAATACTTCATGTAATTGTGAACAGTATGTAATACAAAATGTATAACATGTAGCAATCTCGTGTTACATATAGTAATATATGTAGTAATCTCTTTCGACGGATGAATGGAAAATATTTTTATCAAAGCATATTTCGAAGGACTATTATAAATGTTAGTTATATAGTTATATAGTTATATAGTTATATAGTTTTCTTCTGAAATAGTATTGTCGTTGCATGTGTCACGATCGAGTAATTATCGCACATACCATGTACATTATTTCGGCAGTTTCTCGTAGAATAGATTGACTAATATCACTAAATATATAGATTGACTAATATCACTAAATATACCGTTAAATAACGAGAGTAAAAATATCTCAGTTGTATTTCATTAGTGGTTTCGTGTAATGTATTAGTATTATATATTTAATAATGTATTAGTATTATATATTTAATAATTTATATAAGTACTTTAATCTCCTCTCGAAACTTCACACGCCTTTATAGGTCGTTGTATCTTCAGTTACATTTCAAATTGTCAACAAATCCTACGAAACCCAGAGAGAAATGTACAGCCGTAAACATACAATGTATATACAATATATACAATATATCAGTGTTCTTTGAATAATTACCGGATGAACATGCCTACCAGATATACAAGAGTTCGTTTCATTAGTCAAGATCAAGAGTATCGCATATTACCCGTCTAAATTCATATTACCGATAAAACACTGGAGTCCAATCTGTGATAGAAATGAAATTATCAAATTTTGACGGAATAAAGTGTTTTAAAGATTATAACAAGTTCTTCCATCCAAATGCTTGTCATGTCTGCAAGACAACGATCCAAAGAAATTTAAAATCATGTTCCAAATGTCACATGATCGCGTACTGCAGCGAGGACCACAAAATGCTGCATCGACCTCAACACCGGGAGATATGCAAAACTATAAGAAGAATAAGTAAGAGGAGGAACTTCTGGTTCACTCGTGGTATGACATCAAAGGAATGGCTGATATTTAAGAAAGAAAACTTGAGGAGAACCAAGGAGGATCTACGTCGTAAGCTGGAGCCGTACGAAGAGCAGATGTTTATGTTCGCAAAATCGTGTCTGATTTGTCACCAGCAGACTAACTTGGTGACCATTTGCGAGGAGTGCTGCTACGTCAATAGCTGCATTGATCACAATTTAACTAATGTCGAACACAATTGCGAAGGTCTGCTATTTTCTTTCGTCCTAGATATCGAGTATTTTAAAAATGAACAAGATATAAAATCTAAATTAGTCGATTATGATTATGTCAGTACATTTAACTTTCCCATTAACATCGAATCATTTGTAACGTGCTTTGGTACAGATGACATGTACAGTTATCGTTTTTGGGATCCGTTCGATTACTACTTTTGCGATTGGGTATCAGAACCGTTGACCGTGTGTCAGATTATACAGTATCCAATGTACTCTTACCTTGCACGTAAACAATCTTTTTTTGTCGTTCATATTATAGCCGGATCCAACGGTATCGACAATTGGCCGGCTTGGGAATTGTTATTACATATGTTAGCTGACAAAGTAACATTACAAATTACAGTGATAGGATCAGAAGTACAAGATGTATGCGTACCAACACGGAGTTTATGTGATAGATGCAGTCTTTTCGAGAAGACTCTTTCTGTTAAGCGGCGTAACATACCATACGAGCGTTTTGCGAAAAGTTTATTGTATGATCATCCAAATATAATTATAGGATTTCACGTAGAACTTGAAAAATTCAAGAAAACAACTTTAGAAGCAATGATTTTTCAAAAGTGTCCATTTCTGCTAACAGCTAAATCGAAAAGTAAAGCGGATGACAATATAAACATATTACAAGAAACGCTGGAGACATATAATATATCGTTTACTAGTGTTAAAAACAGATTTATGTCTCTAAGAGCACACAAGGATCCCGAGAGCGATGGTACGTTTTTCCGTAATGAGTATTTAATTATATGTGACAGTTCAACATTTTTAAAAGATTTCAAACGTCGGTAATTTTTGCGTATAATTGTATTATTACTTCGGTAATTGTATTCACAATATGTAATACATTTTCAACATTTAATATTTCAATTTTAATATATTTAATAAAGCATACATTAACAGTATAATTATATTGTTTTCTTCTGAAAGGATATATTTGTTGCCGCAAATAATCATTGTCCTAACAGCACAAGTCTTTCAGCGACATCCTGAAAACATCTAGAGGGTATCCCTATGTCCTAAGGACGTCCACAGGATATCCATGGAACATTATGTGCTATCTACACATAAATTGCAAGTATTTTGTTTTAGCATTTTCTCGTAGGACAGACCGTCCATCAAATATAATAATATAATAATATAATTAAAATATAAATATATCAAATATCGTGAAATATTGGACTAAAAGATTTCAGCTGTACTTCACAATTTCATACAATGCATTTTCTTTTAATTTTCATATTTTAAATTTCATATAATTCTATTAATTTTAATGACAGAAGAAAAAAGTTTTTGCACATGTTATTTGCTTTCAAATAGGTAAATTTGTTAACTGATGACATATTTTTCAATCAATTATCAAAGGATCAAAGACATGTCAAGGATATCCACTTTTTCTAGTATTTTATATATTTTTTTTCTCTTTGTTACATTAAATTATATATATTTTTCGCAATATTATATATATATATATATATAAGATGTTTGGATATTTAAGTATAACAGCCTCCGTGTTGTTAATAGTTAAATCAAACTGAACTGGGAAAGCCTATATTATCTAAATGTTGTAGTCTAAATGTTATAGATTCTATAACATTTTTCACATATCGTTTTTGTTATTGAGTTACTAATTGATCTACTAGGCTTAGCTTCCAAATTGAAACCACAAATATTCCATGGATTTGTTTCTAACATTTCGTAAATATTTCACGTCACTAGACGAGCAATCTGATATAGTATCATACTGCTAGAATTTACGCAAAATACTGCAAAATTGCTACTTTTTAGTTTTTATTATAACGATCTCTGTGGATGAGTCTAATTCGTAATTCTGAAGCTTTTTTCTTAGATTTTTTAAATAAAACATGATAGAGGCAATCTTCTTCTATCAATGCTCGCGATCCTGTTAACCATATATTTCGTTTTGTAATAACCAAAAGTAAATAACTAGTAGGGTGCAGTTGCTTAGTAATACGGAGTAAAAAGGCCACATATAAAATATATACCTGATTAGTTGTTCTGGTCTTTCCGCGAAAGCTTTCCAGCCCTTCTGCCGATCCTTAATTATGAGCCAATTTTACTTTGTCTCGCCATATACTCGATTTCAGTTCATTTTATGAATAAAAGTTGCATTTATTGCCAGAAACAGTATATCATACACTTGCAAGAAATTTGAATTAGCTAGTAACACATCGTTTATTCAGTCATGATGAAGAATATTAATACACAATTTCGAGAGGCTTGAAAATTTACTTTGCTATTACCAAATCAGTTTTTTCTGTTCCTTAATTGTAATATTATTCCGATTTTAATGAAACTCAGAGAAAAATATTTATGTCCTCAAAGGAGCATTTTGCGATTTTGTATCCACTATTTCTTTCAAAATAAGTATTAAAAAAGAGCACATGAATAAAAAATATTTGGGGTCATATAATCACGGTCTCCCTACGTATAAGTGTTTTTAATTTTTTTTTTTTAAGATAAATTGAAGTAAACTAATTAAATATCTAAGAATTTTGCTTTAAAACTATGTTAGTTGCTTATATTAATATCAATTATCAATATCAATTCGTTTCGATCGACAAACCTATGTAAATTGAAATGACGAACAAAAGTTGCTACAATCTTAAGCGACTCATAATTAGGATCTTATTGTGTATATCTGCCGCCGCATGATTCGAATTTATTCGCGATGTCCGACATGGTAATTCGTGGTTCGTGATATCTCTACTTACAGCAAGTATTGTCAACAATTTCGCAGCACGCAGACATACCGGTAAATATTTTAGTTAGTGTCGTCCGAACAATCGCAGAGAGAGAATCAATACTGTAAGGGTATAGAATTATATCGACTTTTGTTGAAACGACCCAATTTCACGCGTGCTATTTCCAACTTTACACTGCAAGTAAGCCTTCTCGACAGCAAAGGCAAAAGCATTTCTCGACAGTAACATAGATATACCTTTGGCAGTGCTATCAGGCTGTTATGAAATGCACAGGTCTTCAAATTACAACAAGTTTTTCAGTCCGCACGTTTGTCATGTTTGTAAGCAGAATCAATTTGAAGTTAATATTAAATCTCAAATGCCATTAAAGCTGACGTCATGTACCAAATGCTGCATGATAGCTTACTGCAGCGAACAGCACATGCAGCTGCATTTCGATGATCACGATCCGATTTGCAGAGCTATAGTGAAAGTAGGTACGGAAAGAAACATATGGAACACTAACGTTATGGTCCCGGACGAATGGTTCGCCTTTAGGAAGAAGAATATTGAGTACGTTGAGAAGGAACTACAGCGGAAATTAGAGCCGTACGAAGAGCAGATGTTTTGGTTCGTGAAATCGTGCTTTATCTGCCATCGACAACTTTCGTTGCCGACAACTTGCTATCATTGCTTTTCCGTTGACAGTTGTCACGAACATAAAATGCGTTATTTCGCGCATGACTGCTTGTATCTGGCACTAGCTTTTCAGCAAAACATTCACGACATCAAGGGAAATTACCAAGATGAAAGAATGAGTAACGTGTATTTACGAAAGATCAAAGTTGGTATCTCTAACTTAGAATCGTACATCGAAGAATCTGTAGTTGCTCAAAGAAGCATCGAGGAATGGCGTCCTAAGGATTACGCCTATTCTGATTACTTATCGGCGCCGTTGACACTTTATTTTGCGATTGAATGCGCTCCATTTCTTCAGGTTATATTGAGAAGAAATAGCTTAATTGTTCACATTTTAGCCGAAGTCCCCGTGAATGTGTGCGCTTTGTCAGCTTGGGAGATATTGTCACATTTATTAGATAAAAACAGCTTGATTATAATTATACTTATAGGAGAGAAATTACAAGAGAAAATTATCGAATGGGAGAACTGTAAGGTTTGCCGTTTTAAGCAAAAGAGGGTCCGTTTCAAATGTTACAGTGAGTCATACCACAATTATTTGAAATACAAGGATAACGTTAAACCAGACATAATCATAGGATATCACTTGGAACTTGAGGAGTTTATCGTAGAAACTATAAGAGCAATAAAGCATCAACAGTGTCCGTTGCTCATAACGACTAAGTCGGAAAAGAAGGCGCAAAATAATATAGCGGAGATACAGAAAAAACTAAACGAAGATATAAAACCTTTTCTAACGATAAAAAATAATTACAGAAGTAATAGACCATATAGAGATCACGAGAATGACGATGTGTTCTTTCGTAATAATTATTTAATTATATACGAGAATTTGAATTGTCCGGACATTCCACCTCAGAAACGTTTCCGATCATCATTAGCGTCATTAAGTTTGTAAAATAACTCCTTTTTACATATAATGTGAAATTTGTTATATTTGTCAAAATATATTTTTTCACACTTGAATATTTATAACAAAACACATGTTACGAATAAATTTTACATATTTTAACGATATTTTCAATAATAGTTATAAATGTTGAAAATTTTATATCAGCAATGACAACTAGATGTATGTACAGATATATATGTGCGTGGATGTGTATGCGCGTGCATATTTGTGTATACATAATGTGTACATCTTCCATAATTTAAATTCGAAAGGATTTGAGCTTTCTAAACACAATTAACTAAGCTTTAAATGGATTTAGTTCCTAAGCCAGTAGCAATATTCATCTATGATTATATTATTATTTCAGTAGCATTATCTTAAACAACGTGTAAGAGAGATTTTATTAGTAATTGAGTTAAATATGTTAATAATAAGCATATTTTATAAACATACTTTTTAAACATACATAATCATAATAAACATACTTTAAAAAAATATTAATGTAGTGGTTATTTTTCATTTAAAGAGAATTACCGTTGTATTCATGTGTGTGTCTTTCCTTGTGTAAATACGTGTATTTTACATACTTTACATTAACCTTTTAAGACACATAATTCATGGAACATTCTAGTAACTTTTTTTTATAAAATATTATCAAAAACACTCCAAATAGCACATTTATAAGGTTTCAACTGCCCGATTCTAAGTGGTCTCTATTGGTATCAGTGATATTTAAAGGGTTAAGTAATCAGGTAGCGTCACGACACCATAAAATGAAATAATAGATCGATGACAAGTCGAACGTGATTACGAACGGCAGGGCGCAAGGGGAACGAGCCTAAGGCAAGGGGTTGGCCTAAGAAATAGTTTGGTAATATATTTTGTTTGTACGAATTTATATTGTAACCCAGACGGCGCAAATGTCCAAAATTGAGTCATAAAACGTCTTTAAGGCAACTTTAAGACATCTTTAAGATAATACTTTATAAACTTGTCTTAAAGACAACTTAAAGATGTCTTATGTCCCACTTTTAGACATTGTGCTGTCTGGAACGAAACACACATTGGAAAATAAATCGCAAAATATAAATATTATATTTAGATACTATGTGTATGTACAAATTAGTTACACTGAGAAAAAATTTACTAAATTTCAAAAAACGACTGTGAACATATTTGTTTAAATTAAGCAATTATTTTCTAAAATCAAAGAAGGAAATTTATATTTAAAACTTCTTTATTTAATTTTAGAAAATAAAATTTAATTTAAACAAATATGTTCACAGTTGTATTCAAACAAATGGTTTTTGAAATTTAGTAAATTTTTTCTGTATAAGACGTGTATAAGAAGTGTAAGACGTTTCTGCGCTACAGTTTGATGCGCTTTACTTAGGCGTGAAAGTTGAAATCCAGACACTTTATAAATATTGTCAAATTAAAATGTTATAACCATAGAAAATAAAAGTATCGTGAAATAAATAAAAAATGAATACCACTATATCTTGGCCATCGTAAACATGTTTGTGCCTTTCTCCAATGAAGAACAGTATTTATTGCAAAATAGCTTTAAACGATGAAAAGAGTCATTTATAAAAAAGTCTCGCATATTATGTTGTCGTTTATATAGTTGAATTAGTTATTATATATATATATATATATATATATATATATATATATATATAATTATATAATATATTTATTATATATATATATATTTATTTATTTATTATATATATATTTATTATATATATAATATTTTCTGTCAATTTATGCACACTCTGCTATCAATTTGTTTACTGGGAATGTATTTAATAAGGTACATTTTAAGGAAAAAATAGAATCGATAAATGTAGTATTATTTTCTTCTGGAAAAGTATTATAGTTGCTCATTTTATGCTTAACATATATTTTCACAATTTCTCACAGGACATAACATCCGACCAAAATCATGAACATCGAGCTAGATGACTATGGTAGCCTGTACTTCACAAGCGATTCGTACAATGCATTGCAAATAAATAATATTGTATATCTTTGGTTTTCTTTGGTGACTCTGTTTTGATTTAGAAAACATAAAATTTTGATTTAGAAAATATATAAGATTTTTATATTTTCATTGTTCGAAATTTAAAATGTATATTAGTGTACAAATATGTATAAATATATATTTGCATATGAGTAATCAGAATGTCATAAGATCGTAACTTTTAGAAATGGTCTGGTGAAATATTTCATATCTTTTTTAAATTTTGGTAATTTAATATTATTTAATATTTTATACATGTAATATATATATATAAAGAGAGAGAGAGAGAGAGAAAGAGAGAGAGAAAGAGAGAAAAAGAGAGAGAAATCGATAGAATACCTAAATGTATTAATAAAAATTCTCACGATATTAGTTATACTAATAAAAACAGTTGAACCAATTATATAGAAAATTTCAAAAGTTCCTTTCAAAAGAGATTAATGCCGACGAATATATATCTACTGTACTGTATGTTTCAAGTTTATACGCGATATGCCACTTTTAGACGAATCTTTGGAATTTATCCACTTACGTATTGTCAACAAAGCGACAACGCATAGAGACACGGTAAATACATTATTAGTGTTCTCTGAGCAATCACAAAATCAACTTCTTCTCTGCGTGTACGAAAACTTTATACGTCTGTTAAAATGCCGTCTGTCAAGCATAATTCTTCTAAATTTACATAATATATAAAGTATTGCTTGTTATACGGACATATTGTTCTAAAGATAATGGCATTTTCTTGTTACGTAACGCGAAGGACTGTTTATAATTATAATGACTTCTTCCATCCCAACGTTTGTCACGTTTGCAAAACATACAAAAGGAGACTGCAATTATGCTTGGGTTGTAACATGATTTCTTACTGCAACGAGGAGCACAGGTATGTGCATCTATCGCAACACAGCGATATATGCGAGGCTATACGAATATTAAGTGCGACAAGAAACTTATGGAACACTCGTGGTATGGCGATGAATGAATGGATTATACGTAGAAAGGAGAATCTGCAAGATATCGAGTCAATATTACATCGCGAACTGAAGCCATACGAGAAGCAGATGTTCTTATTCGCCAAATCATGTCATATTTGTCACCAACAGCACAATTTGTCTACTTGTCTAAAATGCTATTCGCACTACATGTGCAATGAGCACAAGAGATTTAATGTTGAGCACGACTGTCTGCAATTGAAAAGGTCTCTGATTTTGAATATCGAAGATCTCATCGAGAAACTGGACATGAAAATTTTGCAGTCTCACTTGCCTGATACTATGAGTGACATAATTATAAATTATAACATGAAATTAATTGTTCAGCGGTACAGAGGGCACGGATCGAAAGTGTATCTTTGGAAGCCTGATGACTACACATATTCTGATTGCGTATCAGGACCGTTGACACTGTGTTATGCAGTGCAACATCTGAACTATCAGCAGATAAACGAAACCTTTGAGATTCATATTATAGCCGGGAGTCTGATGGATATACAAAGTCTGTCGGCTTGGGAAATTGTGTTGCACACGCTACTTCCAGGAACAAAATTAACAATTATAATGATAGAATCGCAATTGTATAAAGTGCACATCTCACTGTGGGATGTGTGCGAGATGTGCCACGCCTTTGATAAGACGCTTTATTTTGAAACACGTGTTATGACGTACGAAGATTATGTACAATATCCGTTCTATTATCCACCGGATATCATTGTAGGATTTCAAGCGAACCTTAAGGAATTGGCGCCGAGTGTTATAAGAGAGATACGTCGTTTAGCGTGCCCATTAATTCTGACGACTGTATCTGAATTAGGTGCATATAAGAATAGTAAACTAATAAAAAAAGTGCTGGGTACATGCCCGTCTCCTTGTATTAATGGTGAAAATAGTTTCCGATCAAATAAACCACAGAGAAATTTGAAGGGACACACATTTTTTCGTAATAATCACTTAACTGTTTACGAGCAATTATAATTTTTAGGCGGCTAGAATCATGCCGCAATTATTATATGATTGTATTATTTTAAGCATATGCCGAATAAATTTATCTGACGAATGAGTTACGAATATTTTTAATAAAGAATACTTTAAAGAAGGATTAATAATTATTACTCTGCTTCTTCTGAAGCATTATAATTGTTGTATAATTGTTGTTCATATTATGCATAAGATTTCAACGGTTTCTTCTAAGACGGGCCATCAATTCACAAATAGAGAATTGTATACACAACTCTAGTTATCTCAGATAGCAGCTTCTAAAAAACATCTTGAAAAAAGACGCCTAAAAGACGCCTAAAAGACGTCTAAAAGACGTCTAAAAACATCTGAAAAAGTAAAAGACGTCTTTAGATGTCGTCAAGATGTCTTTTAGAAGTTTTTACTATTTGAGATATTGAGGGATATACACGATGCAGCGTATATACTGAAACAAACTGACTTGCAGATGGAGCAAGAGAAATTAAATTTCAAATTTATTTGCAATAGCTTACTTGCTAGTGGATATTCGTAGTTTATTATATATATTATTACACATCAAATTGTCAAGAGATGAGATAAAATTGTCAATTGGAGAGAATATAAGTGTGTAAATGTCTGTGTCTTTTATTATATACATATACCGTTATATATTTCAAGTTTATACGCGATGCCATTTTTAAACGCATATTTGGAGTTCGTTAGATCCTCGCTTACTGTCAACAAAACAATCACGCACAAAGGGACAATAAACATATTATTAATGTCTTCTAAACCACTGCGAAATCGACATCGATGCGGAATTTTTATATATCCGTTAAAGTTTCAAGCATGTAACTTATCCAAATTTACATAATAAATAATTACTTTGTAATGTTTGGCAGTATTACTTAGCAGTTGCATGGACATATTGTTGACTGAGAATAATGGTATCTTCTCGTGACGTAACGCAAACGTTTGATTATTATAAAATAACCATAACGTTGGGTTTTTCCATCCCAACGTTTGTCACGTTTGTAAGGAAGTATATAAAGGCGGATACCATAGCCCGATCTACAATAGATGGAGTAAGGAGTAAGAGTAGAAGTAAGACGAAGTGGAAATAATTATTTCGCTTACTCCCTTACTCCAATAAAAGTTTGCCCGTATACATCACATGGAGTAAGCCTGAATTAAGTAGTAAGAGCTGAAGTAAGGAGCTAGAGTAAGGGAGTAAACGAAATAAATTACGAAATCCCATTTCGTCTTACTTCTACTCCTACTCCTTACTCCATCTATTGTAGATCGGGCCTGATTGTCACATGATCTCTTACTGCAGCGAGGAACATCGGATGCTGCACTATCCGCAGCACAGAGAGATTTGCGAAGCTATAGGAAAAGTATGTAAGATACTTGTGGAACACCCGTGGTATGACGTCGGACGACTGGCTCATATTTAGGAGGGAGCAAGCCACGATTCTGGTGCTGCATCGCGAATTGGAGCGAGCAGCAAATGTTCCTGTTCGCAAAATCGTGTCCTTCTTGTTACCAACAACATAACCTGAGGCTCGCTTGCCACAGCTGCTTATCCATCAATACCTGCGATAATCACGAGTTAATTGACATTACACACGACTGTACACTGTTGTGGCGATCTCCGTGGCTGGATATTAGAGACACTGCGGAAAAGTCATATAGGAGAATCCCGAAGTTCTATTTACCTCTTATGACGATCGATGAAATTCTTCTCGGTAACAAGGAATTATTTGTTACAGAATTTAGTGGCCCGCGGGAAAAAGTTGAAATTGAGTGGTTAGCTAATAATTACAACTACTCTGATTACTTATCAGGACCACTGACATTATGTTACGCTTTGCAATATGTGCGAATCTTAAATATACAGCGAAATACTTTTG